GGAATCCGCCCAGTAGCCCGTCCAGCCAGGATCCGCCAGAGCCGTCCAGCCTGGATCCGCCAGAGCCGTCCCGCCTGTATCCCGCCATAGCCGTCCCGCCCAGGAATCCGCCAGAGCCGTCCAGCCTGGATCCGCCAGAAGCCGTCCCGCCAGGTATCCGCCAGAAGCCGTCATCGCCAGGATCCCCCAGAGCCGTACCAGCCCAGGATCCGCCAGAGCCGTCCAGCCAGGATCCGCCAGAGCCGTCCAGCCAGGATCCGCCAGAGCCGTCCAGCCTGGATCCGCCAGAGCCGTCCCGCCGGATCCGCCAGAGCCGTCCAGCCTGGATCCGCCAGAGCCGTCCCGCCGGGATCCGCCAGAAGCCGTCCAGCCGGGATCCGCCAGAGCCGTCCAGCCGGGATCCGCCAGAGCCGTCCAGCCGGGATCCGCCAGAGCCGTCCAGCCGGGTCCGCCAGAGCCGTCCAGCCGGGGTCCGCCAGAGCCGTCCAGCCGGGGTCCGCCAGAGCCGTCCCGCCGGGATCCGCCAGAGCCGTCCAGCCGGGATCCGCCAGAGCCGTCCAGCCGGGATCCGCCAGAGCCGTCCCAGCCGGGGTCCGCCAGACGTCCGCGGGATCCGCCAGAGCCGTCCAGCCGGGATCCGCCAGAGCCGTCCAGCCGGATCCGCCAGAGCCGTCCAGCCGGGATCCGCCAGAGCCGTCCAGCCGGGATCCGCCAGAGCCGTCCAGCCGGGATCCGCCAGAGCCGTCCAGCCGGGATCCGCCAGAGCCGTCCAGCCGGGATCCGCCAGAGCCGTCCAGCCGGGATCCGCCAGAGCCGTCCAGCCGGGATCCGCCAGAGCCGTCCAGCCGGATCCGCCAAGCGCCGCCGGATCCGACAGAGCCGACCAGCCGGGATCCGCCATTCAGCCTGGTACTGCCCCTTAGTCCGGTGCTGCCCCTTAGTCAGGTACTGTCCCTTAGCCCGGTGCTGCCCCTTAGTCCGGTGCTGCCCCTTAGCCCGGTGCTGCCCCTTGTCCCGGTGCTGCCCCTTGTCCCGGTGCTGCCCCTTAGGCCGATGCTGCCCCTTAGTCCGGTGTTGCCCCTTAGTCCAGGTGGGGTTAGTTTGGAGGGTGGTCATTGGGAGGAAGCTACCGAAGCAGGTTGTGACTGTGGTGGGGTGGGGATCACGACCGGGGCCAGAGCCGCCACCATGGACAGACGCCCACCCAGACCCTCCCCTAGTCCTGATGTTGGTGCGCCCGGAGTTCGCACCTTTAGGGGGGGGTACTGTGACACTCTGGCTCTATGGACTTTGAATATTGAGCCAGGGTTGTTCATTTTCATGTGTTTGGGTGTATTTCATTTGGTGGTGTTGGGGATGGGTGAGTTTCATTTTGTTTGTGTTGTGGTGATTGGTCTATGACTCCCAATCGGAGGTAACGAGTGTCAGCTGTCGGCTCGTTATCTCTGATTGGGAGCCATATATATTCTGTGTGTTTTCTCCTTTGTTTTGTGGGTTATTGTTTCTTTGTTGCTGTTAGTCGTATTTCAGTTTAGAACTTCACGTATCGTCATTTGTTGTTTTCTTCGTGGTTGCTTTAAGTTAATAAAGTCATCATGTTCACTCGCAACGCTGCGCATTGGTCTCCTCCTTCAGACGATCGTGACACCATCACTCTCCTTCTTGGTAAAATAGCCCTTACACAGCAGAATGCTGTGGTAGCCATGCTGGTTAAGTGTGCCCTGAATTCTAAATAAATCACAGACAGTGTCACCAGCAAAGCACCCCCACACCATAACACCTCCTCCTCCATGCTTTACGGTGGGAAATACATATGCGGAGATCATCCGTTCACACACACACAGCGTCTCACAAAGACACGCTGGAACCGGTCTAATGTCCATTGCTCGTGTTTCTTGGCCCAAGCAGGTCTCTTCTTCTTATTGGTGTCCTTTAGTAGTGGTTTCTTTGCAGCAATTCGACCATGAAGGCCTGATTCACACAGTCCCCTTTGAACAGTTGATGTTGAGATGTGTCTGTTACTTGAACTGTGTGAAGCATTTATTTGGGCTGCAATTTCTGAGGCTGGTAACTCTAATGAACTTATCCTCTGCAGCAGAGGTAACTCTGGGTCTTCCATTCCTGTGGCGGTCCTCATGAGAGCCAGTTTCATCATGGCGCTTGATGGTTTTTGCAACTGCACTTGAAGAAACTTTCAAAGTTCTTGAAATGTTCCGTATTGACTGACCTTCATGTCTTAAAGTAATGATGGACTGTCGTTTCTCTTTGCTTATTTGAGCTGTTCTTGCCATAATATGGACATGGTCTTTTACCAAATAGGGCTATCTTCTGTATACCACCCCTAACTTCTCAACACAACTGATTGGCTCAAACGCATTAAGAAGGAAAGAAATTCCACAAATTAACTTTCAAGAAAGGCACACCTGTTAATTTAAATGCATTCCAAGGTGACTACCTCATAAAGCTGGTTGAGAGAATGCCAAGAGTGTGCAAAGCTATCAAGGCAAAGGGTGGCTATTTGAAGAATCTCAAATATAACATATCTTTTGATTTGTTTAACACCTTTGGTTACTATATATTCCATATGTGTTATTTCATAGTTTTGATGTCTTCACTATTATTCTACAATGTAAAATTTTTTTAAAAATAAAGAAAAACCCTTGAATGAGTAGGTGTTTATATTTTTTACAGGGAAACACAGGTTTAGCTGAATATTCTACAATGGTCAGTAATGCAAATGATTCATTAGTCATATAAATATTCTGACAATGTAACTGAATGAAACAAACATACAGTGAGGGAAAAAAGTATTTGATCCCTTGCTGATTTTGTACGTTTGCCCACTGACAAAGACATGATCAGTCTATAATTTTAATGGTAGGTTTATTTGAACAGTGAGAGACAGAATAACAACAAAAAAATCCAGAACAATGCATGTCAAAAATGTTATAAATTGATTTGCATTTTAATGAGGGAATTAGTATTTGACCCCTCTGCAAAACATGACTTAGTACTTGGTGGCAAAACCCATGTTGGCAATCACAGAGGTCAGACGTTTCTTGTAGTTGGCCACCAGGTTTGCACACATCTCAGGAGGGATTTTGTCCCACTCCTCCAAGTCATTAAGGTTTCGAGGCTGATGTTTGGCAACTCGAACCTTCAGCTCCCTCCACAGATTTTCTATGGGATTAAGGTCTGGAGACTGCCTAGGCCACTCCAGGACCTTAATGTGCTTCTTCTTGAGCCACTCCTTTGTTGCCTTGGCCGTGTGTTTTGGGTCATTGTCATGCTGGAATACCCACGCACGACCCATTTTCAATGCCCTGGCTGAGGGAAGGAGGTTCTCACCAAAGATTTGACGGTACATGGCCCCGTCCATCGTCCCTTTGATGCGGTGAAGTTGTCCTGTCCCCTTAGCAGAAAAACACACCCAAAGCATAATGTTTCCACCTCCATGTTTGACAGTGGGGATGGTGTTCTTGGGGTCATAGGCAGCATTCCTCCTCCTCCAAACACGGCGAGTTGAGTTGATGCCAAAGAGCTCAATTTTGGTCTCATCTGACCACAACACTTTCACCCAGTTCTCCTCTGAATCATTCAGATGTTCATTGGCAACATTGGCCTGTATTTGTGCTTTCTTGAGCAGGGGGACCTTGCGGGCGCTGCAGAATTTCAGTCCTTCATGTTACCAATTGTTTTCTTGGTGACTATGGTACCAGCTGCCTTGAGATCATTGACAAGATCCTCCCGTGTAGTTCTGGGCTGATTCCTCACCGTTCTCATGATCATTGCAACTCCACGAGGTGAGATCTTGCATGGAGCCCCAGGCCGAGGGACATTGACAGTTATTTTGTGTTTCTTCCATTTACGAATAATCGCACCAACTGTTGTCACCTTCTCACCAAGCTGCTTGGCGATGGTCTTGTAGCCCATTCCAGCCTTGTGTAGGTCTACAATCTTGTCCCTGACATCCTTGGAGAGCTCTTTGGTCTTGGCCATGGTGGAGAGTTTGGAATCTGATTGATTGATTGCTTCTGTGGACAGGTGTCTTTTATACAGGTAACAAACTGAGATTAGGAGTACTCCCTTTAAGAGTGTGCTCCTAATCATCTCAGCTCGTTACCTGTATAAAAAGACACCTGGGAGCCAGAAATCTTTCTGATTGAGAGGGGGTCAAATACTTATTTCCCTCATTAAAATGCAAATCAATTTATAACATTTTTGACATGCGTTTTTCTGGATTTTTTTGTTGTTATTCTGTCTCTCACTGTTCAAATAAACCTACCATTCAAATTATAGACTGATCATTTCTTGTCAGTGGGCAAACTTACAAAATCAGCAGGGGATCAAATACTTTTCTCCCCTCACTGTATCAAGAAAGTATTGGAGCAACCGCAAAACCTCTGAGTGCCGATCCAAGTTTCTGTTACACCAAATTACATGGTAGAGTTGGGAGGGAAGGGAGGGAGGGAGTCATTATTTTCCAGTAAAAACAATTAACTCCCGCTCAGCCAACAGCCCAACACTGGGATATGACTGGGCCTGTTTCTCTGTTAGTGAGTGGTCCCCTTGTTGAACCAGCTGCACCAGACTAGACTTCCTGTTCAACCCCCAGGTGCTTCGAATTAACAGACTCAATAAACCCTAAATAAAGACTCAATTGTGACTTGTGTTCATTAAGCACAAAATGGGTGATAAAATGAACAGAACAGGGAGGGACTACCTAGACTCATTCAATAATAAATGCTCATTTTCATATTCCATTGTGTGTGCTAATGAACATGACCAGGTCCTAAATCCATCATGTCTATCTGACTGACAGCTCACAGGAAGAAACCTAAAGGGACTTCACTGACAGAAAACCTGGTCCTGATTGGTTAGGGTTAGGTCAGGGTTAGGATTAAGGTTTAAAGATTAAGGTTAGGGTCAGGGTTATAGGTTGGCATGCCAGTCAGTCACGTCCCATTAATCACACCCCGGCCTCAGCTCACCTTACAGACGGCAGCCTGCAGGATGGCGTCGAAGCCTCCCTCTGGAGCGTCCCTGTTGCGAGAGACCATCTGTTTCTGCACCTCCTCGTTGAAGCGATCCACCTTGTCAGTCAGGGAGAGGAGGTGGCGAAACCCGAAGGAGGGGACACAGTTGGGGAACAGCTTGTATCTAGAGGAGAGGATGATATTTATGTAACAGACCTGGGTTAAAATAGTATTGGTTTTCTGCGTTCAATTGAGCTTGTCTGGCACAGTGGAACCAATGAAATAGTGCAAACCCTGCCCATTTGGCACATCCACGCAGGCTATCATCCAGGCAAACTATTTCAAATACTGTTTCAAACTAGGTCTGTTGGCTACATTTAACATGCTATGTAAGTAATGCAGTTTCCTCAAGAGGAAGACCTCAGTGACATTCTAACACACCCTTCATCCTGGAGGAAACACATATCCTTTGGGGCATTTGATTGTTTTGGCAAGGGGGAGAGGGCAGAGGCGTGTTAAGAACGAGAGGCCCAGACAGCATGATCTGTCCTCTGCCCGTTTAACATTTTCCTGCAGCACTGGCTCTTGGACTGACACACACAGTCCACACACAGGACCCAGGGCATAACCTAGTTGGGCAGTGACGCGTGATGATGGCACTAAGTTAGTGCAGCGTAATCTCACCTCCGGGGCAAATTTGGTGTGTGATGTGTGGGCGGCTGCTTTCAACCTCTATGTTCTATTCTGTTCCCTTACAGCCTGCCATCATCATCATCATCATCATCCACAACAAGCCTCAGCATCACCCGGACTATTTACATTGACCCCCCCCTTTGTTTTTACACTGCTGCTACTCGTTGTTTATTATCTAGGCATAGTCACTTTACCCCTACCTACATGTACAAATTACCTCGACTAACCTGTACCCCCGCACATTGACTCGGTACCGGTACCCCCTGTATATAGCCTTGTTATTTTAATGTGTTACTTTTTATTTTATTTTTTACTTTAGTTTATTTAGTAAATATTTCCTTAACTCTATTTCTTGAACTGCATTGTTGGTTAAGGGCTCGTAAGTAAGTGTTTCACGGTAAGGTCTACATCTGTTGTATTCGGCACATTACATTTGATTTGATCACTAACACTACCTACAGTGGGATCCGAAGTTGACACTCTTGATACAGATGAACAAAAATGTCAGTATAAAATAAATAATTGAAATACAGAGCTATATTGTATGCTCAAAAACATTTGGAAATTATATCATACTAATACAATTGCTCAGAGAAAGATTTTGTTTAACAAGTAATATTGATTTTATCTCCAAAAGGTAGGGGTCAAAATGATTGACACCCCTGTTTTCAATACCTCACCTTGCTGAGCATTTTTCTAAAATGTTTTATGTGTTGGAGAACACATTGGGAGGGATGTTAGACCATTCCTCCATACAGAATAATTATATATATTTGATATCCTTCGTCTGCACTTATGGACGTCCCTTTTCAATTCAAACCACAGGTTTTCAATGGGGTTCAAGTCCGGACACCGAGATGGCCATTGCAAAATGTTGATTTTGTGGCCAATTAACAATTTATTTGTGGATTTTTATGAGTGCTCGGTGTTATCGTCTTGCTGGAAGATTCACTTGCGGCCAAGTCTCAGCCTCCTGGCAGAGGCAACCAGGTTTTTGGCTAAAATATCCTGGTACTGGATAAAGTTCATGATGCCATTGACCTTAACAAGGGCCCCACTACAGTGGAAGCAAAATAGCCCCATAACATCAAATATCCACCACCATATTTTACAGTAGATATGGGGTTATTTTCTGCTCCTGCATTCTCATTTCGATGCCAGACCCACCACTGGTGTGCGTGGCCAAAGAGCTTTATTTTCATGTCATCTAACAAATGTAAACGCCTGGAAGTTTGCTAAACGGCATTGGCACTTGGATTGGAACCGGTGCTTTGGTCAGATGACATAAAAATAGAGCTTGAATTGAAGAAGGCAGTCCAAAAAAACACAAATGAAGGATATCAAGGATCTGGAAGGATTCTGTATGGAGGAATGGTCTATGATCCCTCCCAATGTGTTCTCCAACTCATAAAACATTTTAGAAAAAGGCTCATTACAATTATCTTCGCACGGTGAGGTATTGAAAACAGGGGTATCAATAATTTTGACTCCTACCTTTGAAAGAAAAATAATATTACTTGTTAAACAGAAATCTCTTTCTCTGAGCAATAGCATTTATATAAAATAATATAATTTCGGAAAGTATTCAGAAAGTATTCAGACCCCTTGACTTTTTTTTAAAACATTTTGTTAAGTTAGCGCCTTATTATATTCTTTTTTCAGCAATCTACACATAATACCCCACAATGACGAAGTGAAAACAGGTTTAGAATTTTTTGCAAATGTATTAAAAATAAAAAACAGAAATACCTTATTTACATAAGTATTCAGATCCTTTGCTATGAGACTCGAAATTGAGCTTAGGTGCATCCTGTTTCCATTGACCATCCTTGAGATGTTTCTACAACTTGATTGGAGTCCACCTGTGGTAAATTCAATTGATTGGACATGAGTTGGAAAGGCACACACCGGTCTATAAAAGGTCCCACAGTTGACAATGCATGTCAAAGCAAAAACCAAGCCATGAGGTTGAAGGAATTGTCCATAGAGCTCCGAGACAAGATTGTGTCGAGGCACAGATCTGGGGAAGGGTACCAAAACATTTCTGCAGCATTGAAGGTCCCCAAGAACACAGTGGCCTCCATCATTCTTAAATGGAAGAAGTTTGGAACCACCAAAACTCTTCCTAGAGCTGGCCGCCCGGCCAAACTGAGCAATCGGGGTAGAAGGGCCTTGGTCAGGGAGGTGACCAAGAACCTGATGGTCACTCTGACAGAGCTCTAGAGTTCCTCTGTGGAGATGGGAGAACCTTCCAGAAGGACAACCATCTCTGCAGCACTCCACCAATGAGGCCTTTATGGTAGAGTGGCCAGCCGGAAGCCACTCCTCATTAAAAGGCACGCTTGGAGTTTGGCAAAAGGCACCTAAAGACTCTCAGACCATGAAAAACAAGATTCTCTGGTCTGATGAAACCAAGATTGAACTCTTTGGCCTGAATGCCAAGCATCACGTCTGGAGTAAACCTGGCACCATGCATGGTGGTGGCAGCATCATCATGCCGTGGGGATGTTTTTCTGTGGCAGGGACTGTGAGACTAGTCAGGATCGAGACAAAGATGAACGGAGCAAAGTACAGAGAGATCCTTGATGAAAACCTGCTCCAGAGCGCTCAGGACCTCAGACTGGGGCATAGGTTCACCTTCCAACAGGACAACGACCCTAAGCAAACAGCCAAGACAACGCAGGAGCAGCTTCGGGACAAGTCTCTGAATGTCCTTGAGTGGCCCAGCCAGAGCCCGGACTTGAACCCGATCTAACATCTCTGGGGAGACCTGAAAATAGCTGTGCAGCAAATAGCTGTGCAGCAACTCTCCCCATCCAAACCTGATAGAGCTTAAGAGGATCTGCAGAGAATGGGAGAAACTCCCCAAGTACGGGTGTACCAAGCTTGTAGCGTCATACCCAAGAAGACTCGATGCTGTAATCGCTGCCAAAGGTGCTTCAACAAAGTACTGAGTATATGGTCTAAATACTTAAGTAAATCTGATATTTCAGTTTTCTATTTTTAATACATTTGCAAAAAAAAATCTAAAAACCTGTTTTTGCTTTGTCATTATGGGGTATTGTGTGTAGATTGATGAGGGGGGGAAATCCATTTGATCAATTTTAGAATAAGGCTGTAACGTAACAAAATGTGGAAAAGTCAAGGGGTCTGAATACTTTCCGAAGGCACTGTAGCTCAGTATTTTAATTATTTAAGTTATACAGTAATTTTTGCTCGTCTTTTATCAAGGGTGTCAATCATTTCGGACCCCACTGTATAGGGTGGACAGGACAGGGTACATTGTGTCCATTGGTCAGTCTCAATTACCACTTTCACAGATAAATATTCTTCTGAAGTGTGAATGATATTAGAAGATATAAACTGGTTAGTGAACTGACACAGTGATAGTCGTTCCCTCTTTCTCACACTACCACTCTACTTTTAGAGGAAGACATTCTAAGCAGAGTGGCCTCACTTCCATTTTTGTAGAAATACAGCACCTTGCCATCTATACTAAAATATTGATATTACACTTGATCCTAGATGAAATCCACAAAATCCCAACATGAACCCAAATTATTTCAGCTGCACTCCCTATTCGGTTTCCATATCAACCCCAAACACATGAGCATGCTTTTTTTCCGCCAGTAACAATGCCCTTCCTCAGTTCTTACCCATTGCAGGGGTTGTCCTGGTACTTGGAGGCCGTGTAAGAGAATGGTGACATGTTCTTGTCTACGAAGGAGCCAAAGCCCAGTCTGAAGTTCGAGGTGAGTTTCCTCATCTCGTCAGCCAGCTTGGTGCCCAGATTCCTGATGGTGTCCAGGTCGTCCTTCATGGACAGAGACAGGTCCATCAGGTAGTACAGGTCAACAGGGTAGTCCTCCACCTGACGCACCTGCACTTCGAATGATGTCTGGTCACCTAGTGGGAGGGGGAAATGTATTGATTCGTGCCATTGCTTTGATAGGTTTACAAATCAACCAGCGTCCTACATTTTCCCTGTACTGTGGGTTGACTTTTAATATTTTCTAAGAAGACAGTGGTTTTTCCCCAATTATACTGAACAAAAATATAAACGCAACATGTAAAGTGTTGGTCCCATGTTTCATGAGCTGAAATAAAATATCCCAAAAATGTTCCATACCCACAAAAAGCGTATTTCTCTCAAATTTTGGGCACACATTTCTTTACACCACTGTTAGTGAGTATTTATCCTTTGCCAAGATAATCCATCCACCTGACAAGTGTTGCATTACAAGAAGCTGATTAAACAGCATGATTATTACACATGTACACCTTGTGCTGGGGACAATAAAAGGGCACTAAAATGTGCAGTTTTGTCACACAACAATGCCACAGATGTTAAGTTGAAGGAGCGTGCAATTGGCATGCTGACTGCAGGAATGTCCACCAGAACTGTTGCCAGAGAATTGAATGTTCATTTCTCTATCATAAGCCACCTCCAATGTCATTTTAGAGAATTTGGCAGTATGTCCAACCGGCCTCACAACCGCAGACCACGTGTAACCACGCCAGCCCAGGACCTCCTCGTCCGGCTTCTTCACCTGTTGGACACCAGCCACCCGGACAGCTGATGAAACTGAGGAGTATTTCTGTCTGTGATAAAGCCCTTTTGTGGGGAAAAACTCATTCTGATTGGCTGGGCCAGCATCCCCAGTGGGTGGGCCTGGCTCCTAAGTGGGTGGGCCTATGCCCTCCCAGGCCCACCCATAGCTGCGCCCCTGCCCAGTCATGTGAAATCCACAGATTAGGACCTAATTAATTTATTTCAACTGACTGATTTCCTTATATGAACTGTAACATGTTGCGCTTACATTTTGGTTCAGTATAGATATGTTAACAGTGTTCCATATACAGCTCATGTCTCTCCAGAACCTTAGGTTCAAACCCTGTTGCCTTGGCAACACATTGCGCTCTGAGAGGGTAGATTCTCTGTGCTTACCTGGTCTCACACTGTACGTACAGTCTATCATTGTCATGCCATAGGCCTACATGGCACAAAAAGACTGGATCACTAGGCTTGGACCGGGCTTACCTGGTCTAAGACTCAGGGAGATCTTCTGGGGCATGATCTGGATGACATCATACTGGGTAGGCCCAGAGCCTTTGGAGCTGAGGGGTTCGCTCTTCACTACCATAGTTGTACTACTAGGACTCTCTATGTTATGGGCCTCACAGCCCCTCTTCTGCAGGTTCTGACTCAGGTCACACCGCGACGTCAGGGTCCTCGCCCTGCCAAACTCCTGAGGGAAGAACAAACAAATGACACCTGTCATCCAATGTAGAGCTAGAGTACACACTTGTCTGACTCTCAGCCCTGGCTTCAGTTGAGCATTGGTATGCGAAAATAAAGCATAGGGGGGGATCTTGTATATTTTTATTTTAGTTCTGTGAGACAATTGTAGGTCTGAAAGCAGGTGTAGACAGTCCACTATGTACAGAGAACAACAATGATTCCAGAACTGCACAGGTGCACTCCTACATGCTGTTGGCTCATGAAACAACATGCCATCATCACTCCTGAGCTTTTCGTTTTGCATGTGAAGTCTAAACATTACACAACAGTATGAGAGTCCTCACGTCACACTAAGACAGCTATTGGGTTCCATATGTCACATTTAGAAATGTAGTGAGAGTATTACTAATCTCACCACCACAGTGGTGCATTGTAAGTAAACCTAACACTTTGGAGGCGTGAGGCACATGCCCTACCTCTTGTGCGCACCAGGCGCAGCTCGGGTGGATGAGGAGGCATTCTTCACAGGATGTAGCGCTGCCACTCATACAAACATTGAGTCCTAATGAGAAAGTAGTAAAAGTAACCAACACTATTCCAGAGATCCTATTTGATCATTCATGACATTTGATTTCCAGACAATGACACTCGGAGGACAGACATGTAATACACACATTATATTTAGTCTGTTTCGTACTCAAGCGCAGGTGGAATATGGCAAATTACAATTTAGATTATTTATTCCACGTCAGCGTGAAACATAAACCTTTGAATCGATTAAAGCACTATGATCGAAGACCTTGGTTTATAAAGCCTTTATTCAGATATGTATTTATACTTCAATGCAACGTGTCAAACATTTGAAAGAGAATGACAACCACAACAGGCTATTTCGTTTTCACAGGGAAACAATCGAGTGTGTATTGCAACATTGTTGCAGGAATTTCACGGTTACTGTAACAATTGTCCCAATTTCAATACACTAGAACAAGCGATTCCATACGAAAACTAGTCTTCTAGAGCACTTTCCCGTGGATTAAAGCCATTATAGGCCATTACAAACACGTTTCGAATAAACTGGGGAGCAAAACGTTTACAATAAAAAAACTTTCTTACCTTGTGCAACATTGTGAATAAATATTTCCAGAACCATGCAGCCAAAGGCTGTACGGTACACCAACTGCCATGGGCTCCACATAATTTCCTCGTAATGGGTCCGATATTCAAAAGTCTGTTTGTGAAGTTTTATGGCACTGCTGTGGCACTGAAGTCGGCAGTCTCCCTTCACTTTAGATCCAGGTTCTGTCTGCTCGGTCGGTGAAGACTAGTGAACCACTTTCTTTGTCCATTTGAACTCCAGCAAAGCTAATCGGCCTCATAATGTAAACGCGACCTCTAAACAAACATTACAATTAATTGTCCCTCTGAAGAATTCCACATAATAGGAGCAAAACAATATTTTTCAATATTGGGTTCAAGGTTTCAAAAGCTGTGATTTTTGCAAATAGTTATGCAGAGCCAGCCTACCATGTTGTCCGTAGTTCACTCATTGCTGACACCATTGGTACTTGTTTTCCAATACTTTTCCATTACTTTTCCAATGGTTATAACCCCTTATTTTTGTGCAATAATTGCCTTGCATAAAAGTACTTTAAAGTATAAGTTCGGCCTAAATGTAGAATATAATTTCAGCTCACTAGAATGGCTTTTCCCTAGCAAGTTTGTGTTCTTCAGTCCCTATAGTTGCGTATCCAGCAGCTAGTCTCCGCCCATTCGTTAACCCCATAGATATAGACAGAGTCATCATCTTCATATCTGTGCCATTATAGCGTCTGTGACAGCCTGGGCAGCGCCATTGAGGATACAACCCATAGGAATCCCCAACCAGTTTACTACTTTAAAATGGCGGAAGCATGGTGGAAGCCCTCAATGGCGCTGCCCATGCTAAAATTGCCTTTTGGCCACTAGAGACCTCTATCATTATCTATGGTTAACCCTTTCGTAGGTTCACCTGCTCACAGATGACTTCAACACGTTGCATTGACACAGATAAAAGACACACGCATCCATGATGTTGGCCAGGCAGGCCTACAACAGTCAATATACAATAGCCTATTGTAATGGTTGCCATAGTATAATAGGTCACAACACAATTTAGGGTTTACTTGACTGCCATTTGAGGATAATAGGCTAATTGAGGATATTCAAAAAGGTTATTGGCCCAGTCAAAAATGTATTATCCCAACAAGTATACAGCTAATATATTGATGGTATTATAGAAGTACAAAGCTATAGAGTATAGTTTATTCCACAGTAACTGTCTATGCTTAGTCAATGTAACCTAATTGCCTAATGAGCACATTCAGAAGTCATGTTACCACCTGTTAGATACAATAGAGCGTGTGTAGCGTCTATACTAACGATCGGGGAGCTCATGTAATCAGCACCGCTTTTACATGTGCAGTAAAACCCTATTGCTTACACCTCACTGGCCTGGCTCAGTAGATTATTCAGCGATCAACAAAAACCTGGAAGCTTGCACCACCTGCTGGCCATTAACAGAAACGCGAGAACTTGCATGATAAAGGGATTTGCTTGTATACCATGCATAGGCATACATATCAAGGCCAGTTGGGGCTGAGACAGAAACTCTAAATGCACAACAACCCACACAAGATACCAAACTAAAGTATATTTTATTAACGTAACAATATGCAAAATGAAATTAACTATATACTAACTCCATATGTCCAACAGGCAAACACTAGCTAAGCACAGTGCCTTCAGAAAGTATTCACACCCCGTTGACTTTTTCCACATTGTTGTTACAGCCTGAATTTAAAATGGATTACATTTAGATGTGTCACTGACCTACATACAATACCCCATAATGTCAAAGTGGAATTGTTTTTAAAAATCTGTACAAATTAATAAAAAATGAAAAGCTGAAATGTCTTGAGTCAATAAGTCCTCAACCCCTTTGTTATTGCAAGCCTAAATCATTTCAGGAGTAAAAATGTGCTTATCAAGTCACATAAGTTGCATGGACTCACTGTGTGCAAAAGTGGTGTTTCTAGAACGACTACCTTATCTCTGTACCGCACACATACAATTATCTGTAAGGTCCCTCAGTCGCGCAGTGAATTTCAAACACAGATTCTACCACAAAGACCAGGGAGGTTTTCCAATGCCTCACAAAGGGCACCTATTGGTAGATGGATTTTGTGTGTCGAAAAAAAAAGACATTGAGTATCCCTTTGAGCATGGTGAAGTTATTAATTACACTTTGGATGGTGTATCAATCCAGGCGTCCTGCCTTACTCAGTTGCCGGAGAGGAAGGAAACCATGAGGCCAATGGTGACTTTAAAACAGTTACGGAGTTCAATGGCTATCATAGGAGAAAACTGAGAATGGATCAACTAACCTAATTGACAGAGTGAAAAGGAAGCCTGTACAGAATACAAATATTCAAAAAATTGCATCCTGTTTGCAACAAGGCACTAAAGTAATACTGCAAAAAATGTGGCAGAGCAATTAACTTTTTCTTCTGAATACAAAGTGTTATGTTTAGGGCAAATCCAATACAACACATTACTGAGTACCACTCTCCATATTTTCCAGCATAGTGGTGGATGCATCATGTTATGGGTATGCTTGTAATCATTAAGGACTGGGTAGTTGTTTAGAATAAAATAAAATAAACAGAAGGGCGCTAAGCACAGGCAAAGTCCTAGAGGAAATCCTGTTTCAGTCCGCTTTCCACCAGACACGTTTTTACGTTTTTTTAGTCATTTAGCAGACGCTCTTATCCAGAGTGACTTACAGTTAGTGAGTGCATACATTTTATTTGTTTCATACTGGTCCCCCGTGGGAAACGAACCCACAACCCTGGCATTGCAAACACCATGCTCTACCAACTGAGCTACACGGGACCAGACACTGGGAGATTAATTCACCTTTCAGCAGGACAATAACCTAAAACACAAGGCCAAATATACACTGGATTTGCTTACCAATAAGACAGTGAATGTTCCTGAGTGTCTGAGCGACAGCTTGAAAATCTATGGCAAAACCTGAAAATGGTTGCCTAACAAAGACCAACAACCAATTTGAGAGCTTGAAGAATTTTTAAAAGAATAATGGGCAAATGTTGCACAATCCAGGTGTGCAAAGCTCTTAAGAGACTAACCCAGAAAGACTCACAGTCGTAATCACTGCTAAAGGTGCTTCTACGAAGTAATGACTCAAGGGTGTGAATACTTATGTAAATTGAATATTTCTGCATTTCATTTTCAATACATTTTGAAAAAATATCTAAAAACATGTTTTCACTTCGTCATTATGGGGTATTTTGTGTAGATGGGTGAGAAAAACAATCTATTGAATCCATTTTTAATTCAGGCTGTAACAACAAAATGTGGAATAAGTCAAGGGGTATGAATACTTTCTGAAGGCACTGTAGCTTTGACAATAACAGTATTCCAATACTGAGAGGATGGACAAAGGGGAAAATGGTTGAATCTGGAGGATACGTGAACTATCCTTCCAGACATAATTAATCAAATTGTCCTGTGGAGAACAAAACTGATTAATTTTAAAAAAACGTAACCTACTCTAATATCCAAGATCAATATTTCAGGTTTTCAGATGTATTTAACTAAAACAGAACATAAAAACTCCTTTGCAATTCTACCATGACTTGAATTAACTTAAAAAGTCAAATGTAATTTTTAACAATTTGCAAACTAAAAATATATATTTCTTCTTCATATTTGCACTTTTCAGGCTCAAAAGTACATAAAACAATTCACTAAGTACTGTAGCAAAAGAGTAGAGTAATAACATGCCCTCTCTGAGGAACAAACAAAACAGTGGATAAGTTCCTTACTACATTTAAGTAAATCAAAAGCCTGGCTTTGGGCAAACCTGTAACCTGTGTTTCAACACAAAGGCAAATAACAACAGATTGGAGAGAGTGGAGTCAACAATAGAATAGGAAGTGGAGTCCTTATCGTGTCAGCAGGTCAGAGGTCATGTTTACAATGGTCTTGAGAGGCAGGCCGCTGAGGAACCCCTGGTGTTTGGCCCTCAGCTCCAGCAAGGCGTCAACAATCCTCTGCCTCCCCGCCTCTGGGTGGCGCTCTGACAACTGGGCCATCAGTGTATCGAAGCTACCCATGGTGGCGTAGTGCTGGGGCACACAGGTCCCCGACGCCGTGGGGGAGTCACACACGGTGGTCCTCTTCTGGAGGCTGAGCTGCAGGGGCTGGAGAGAGACACCAGATGAGATCAGAGACCAAAGACATGGGAGAGAGGGAATGATTATGGACAAATCAACTTGGGAGCATTCAACGCATTGCAACAGATTGAAAACAAATAATATTTCCATCTACAATCCCTGATTACAAAACAACAACTGCAGAGAAACATCCCCCTAACCTTCAGTGGGGTGGTGATATGGGTGTTTTTGCTCTTGGAGTCTTGGGGGCCTGGGGCGTCTCCAGAGGGCCCTGCCTTGGTGCTGGCTGAGGGACCAGGCTGTTGCTGGGTTTGCCCCCCCTGACCCTGGCTCCCAGTGTGGCTTGGTCTGCAGATGTGCACCACATGCACCGTGTGTCCCTGCATATTGCACCCGTCCATCTCACTCAATGCACTGTCAGCCATCTTTGGACCACTCACAGTCACTATGGCAACTCTGCAAGAACAGAGAGAGAAGGTCTTAACATTGACATGTACTCAATTGCTTCATGTGAGGGGACAATATTCTATACAAAAGTCTGTGTTGTTGATGTTATTATACTGAAATCTTGATGTAACAGTTGCCTTGGAACGCTTATACATTCATTAACTTAAGTTTCATTCTACAGGGTCACTGTGGTTTTATTTTACCGGAGGTTGTTGCTGAAGGTGGAAATGCTCACTTCAGATGCTTGATACTTCTCAAACCAGAGCATTACTTCTCTCTATGAAGACAGACAGATAGGGGAGTTATATTAGGGTATGTTGCCCCCTGGTGGCCAGATCACTCCTCACACTTTCCCATTTTTATCACTGATTCCTCACATCCAATCTCCTTGCCTCCTTTCAAACAGCATTGGAGAAGAAGGTCCAAGGGAAGGGACCTTGGACCTTCTCCAAAACGGTTGATGCAACGGATGCAAGGAATCGAGGAAAGATGAATTGAGTTATAAACATTGTCACATGCTGAGGCTTACCTCCGTTACATCACTGGGTAGGTCTGTGACACACAGGAAGGAGCTCTGATCCTTCTCCCCAACGACTCCTAAAGAAATATATAAATTAATGTTTATAAACACTGTTTATGAACTTGTTATGTGTGGGTTATGAAATCCTTATGTACCAGTAGGTAGTGTTACCGAAATATCAAATTCAGCAAGATTCAGTCAAATTATGAACAACACACAGTGAAACATTTGAAACTCAAAATCTTGAGGTCTGTCTGTCATGCAGCTTTTTCCCTCAAACCTATCCTTGCCATTTCCTTCCTCCTCCGGGACCTCAGCCAGACCTCCTTCCTTCAGCTCTACACCATCAGGCTCAAGGTCCTCCTCTGCATCGTACCACGCCTCGCTAGAGTTGTGGTCTTTGGTTCCACCTGTTGAGTGTGAGTTAGGAAAACCAGGTGGATAGGAACCAGCTTTGAGAACACTGTGGAACACTGTAGTGCAACGCATTCTATGTTTATACATTCAATGAGCCAATGTGTTTGTACAGTGAGGGGAAAAAAGTATTTGATCCCCTGCTGATTTTGTACATTTGCCCACTGACAAAGACATGATCAGTCTATAATTTTAATGTTAGGTTTATTTGAACAGTGAGAGACAGAATAACAAAACAAAAATCCAGAAAAACACATGTTAAAAATTGCACAAAATGTTATAAATTGATTTGCATTTTAATGAGGGAAATAAGTATTTGACCCCTCTGCAAAACATGACTTAGTACTTGGTGGCAAAACCCTTGTTGGCAATCACAGAGGTCAGACGTTTCTTGTAGTTGGCCACCAGGTTTGCACACATCTCAGGAGGGATTTTGTCCCACTCCTCTTTGCAGATCTTCTCCAAGTCATTAAGGTTTTGAGGCTGACGCTTGGCAACTCAAACCTTCAGCTCCCTCCACAGATTTTCTATGGGATTAAGGTCTGGAGACTGGCTAGGCCACTCCAGGACCTTAATGTGCTTCTTCTTGAGCCACTCCTTTGTTGCCTTGGCCGTGTGTTTTGGGTCATTGTCATGCTGGAATACCCATCCACAACCCATTTTCAATGCCCTGGCTGAGGGAAGGAGGTTCTCACCCAAGATTTGACGGTACATGGCCCCGTCCATCATCCCTTTGATGCTGTGAAGTTGTCCTGTCCCCTTAGCAGAAAAACACCCCCAAAGCAAAAATGTTTCCACCTCCATGTTTGACGGTGGGGATGGTGTTCTTGGGGTCATAGGCAGCATTCCTCCTCCAAATACGGCGAGTTGAGTTGATGCCAAAGAGCTTGATTTTGGTCTCATCTGACCGCAACACTTTCACCCAGTTCTCCTCTGAATCATTCAGATGTTCATTGGCAAACTTCAGACGGGCCTGTATATGTGCTTTCTTGAGCAGGGGGACCTTGCGGGCGCTGCAGGATTTCAGTCCTTCACGGCATAGTGTGTTACCAATTGTTTTCTTGGTGACTATGGTCCCAGCTGCCTTGAGATCATTGACAAGATCCTCCCGTGTAGTTCTGGGCTGATTCCTCACCGTTCTCATGATCATTGCAACTCCACGAGGTGAGATCTTGCATGGAGCCCCAGGCCGAGGGAGATTGACAGTTATTTTGTGTTTCTTCCATTTGCGAATAATCGCACCAAATGTTGTCACCTTCTCACCAAGCTACTTGGCGATGGTCTTGTAGCCCATTCCAGCCTTGTGTAGGTCTACAATCTTGTCCCTGACATCCTGGGAGAGCTCTTTGGTCTTGGCCATGGTGGAGAGTTTGGAATCTGATTGATTGATTGGTTCTGTGGACAGGTGTCTTTTACACAGGTAACAAGCTGAGATTAGGAGCACTCCCTTTAAGAGCGTGCTCCTAATCTCAGCTCGTTACCTGTATAAAAGACACATGGGAGCCAAAAATCTTTCTGATTGAGAGGGTGTCAAATACTGATTTCCCTCATTAAAATGCAAATCAATTTATAACATTTTTGACATGCGTTTTTCAGGATTTTTTTGTTGTTATTCTGTCTCTCACTGTTCAAATAAACCTACCATTAAAATTATAGACTGATCATTTCTTTGTCAGTGGGCAAATGTACAAAATCAGCAGGGGATCAAATACTTTTTCCCCTCACTGTACCTATCCCTCCCTATTCAAATAAACCATGGATGAATGAACGAATAGGTCTCATTACCTGGCCTGGGCCCCCGGTTGACCACAGGCTGCTGGGGGAGGAGGGTGACCGCCTTCCCAGACCTGCAGTCCTCAGCCTTGGGGTTACCAACTGGCCCTTCTGCCTTCATCCTGCCAACCATCCCATCATCCTGTCCAAGGACTGATAAAACAGACTGGGACACCAGTCTGTTTAACTCTCCATCTCCTTCACCAACTACACTGACGTCCTCTACGCGGGCATCCTCTACCAGCAACTGCTGGGAGCTCCTATCTGAGGCACTGGAGGATAGGGAAAAAAACAATTTATACAATCAACTTCATTCATTAATTCACTCACTCACTCATTCATTATTTCATTAATCAAATACCTACTCAGACAGAGCATTTCCCAAAGACTCGTCAACTATCTGAAAAGGGGAAAACAACCATGAGATCCACCCTGCATCGTACAAACCTAAATGTACTGAGAGGAAGGAAGGGTACCAGAGGGAGCAGCTTACCTGTTGGGGGACGTAGCTGGTCCCTGAGGTGATCCTCTGGGAGTCGACAGACAGGGGTCTGAGCTGGTCCAGGGGTATACCTGACAGGACCTGTCTCCTCATCTCTATGTAGTCTACCTCCAGGACCTGCAGCACCTTCACCAGGCTCTCAGGAGGCCCCTCAGTCCTACAGGGCAGGGGGGTGGGGATATACATACTGGAATGTCAACATAGTAATAATATAGCGCTGGTTTCTTGGACCCAGATTAAGCCTTTTCCTGGACTAAGATTATGGGGCTTTTTAGAGCTGCCATAACAGGGAAGGTGTATTCAACAGCTACATTACCATTATAGTGGCTAACTGTGAATGATTAACATGCATGATCAGATAGACATAACACTAACAGATACCACATGTCCAATTATATTTTAACCCTCTCATATATGGACCTAATGAATAAATGAATTAATGAGTTTTAATTGTAAGGTGCCCTGCTGTCTCCTGTCCTGTCCCTTACCCTGGACCTAAATGATATATGACTGAGTTCTGCCCAACTTTGTAAAGTGCCAAGCTGTCATCCCTCCTGTCCTGTCTCTTACCCCTGGACCAGACGGTCTCCCTCGGGTGAGGTGTAGTAGCGACTCCAGCAGTGCCGTTGGCACATCCAATACTGCAGGGCCAGCAGGCTCAGCTCTGCCCGCCTGGCACGCTGGACACAGTCACATTCACCACGGTCTGCGTCACCGCAGCCTCTTCCATCTCTCACACTCACACCGCCTGCAGAGCTGATACAGGCAGCAACAGACATAGCCAAGGTCAGCACTTCAGCAGATGGAAGAATAGAATCATGGAGATTTTCATGATCTCAAATAAATCCGGAATGGAGGTATAACAGATAACAGAAAGAAAAGTGTATTTATTTAGTGAGACTAAAATACCTTGCCATTTTCTCTTTCAGCTCTTTCAGTTCCTCTTGAGCAAATTTCAGCTTGATGAATTCCTTAAAGACATTTAGATATTGAAGAAATAAATGTATTTCATTAAAAAGGAAATCTGAATGACAACTATAAACATTACAGGAGGAGTGTTAACAGTAATGTACCTCAGTGAGATAGTCCAGGTCTGCCATGTGGACTTCAGTGATGACATACTTGTCAGTTGTAGTTGTGCCCCGAGTTTGTGTGTTCTGGTTGCAGCCTGTTAGACTGTGGTCAATACCAACCAAGATGTCATGTTTGGTGACGGCAGGCGAAGTATTTGTTGAATGGTCGGCTGTGCTCAGTCTAGCTTCTGTGACCCGTGAAGGAGAGATATCAAAAGTCTGGTTCAGGTTGACTAGAGAGGACACAGACATACCGTTCCCATGCTGTGTGGGGGTCACGACGGCCGCCGCCGCCGCCCCACCAGGGCTTATGGACACAAAGGACTCCTCATAGATGGACTGCTCCTCTTTCTTCGGGGTCTGGGGTGCACTGAGACTCTCTCTAGACCAACCGGACTGGTCCATCTGGGTTTGGCCTTGTGGGCGTGTCGCGTTTAAGTTAGGTGTCCCCTCATTACTTGCTTTATACATGAGAATACTCCCATCCTCTTCCATGATGCTCTGGTAGTCGACGCCATCATTCTCTAGCTCGCATCTTGAGGCCTCTTCCTCATTTGCTAGGTTGCCGGGGAAGTTGTCGTAGGTCCAATCACAGTACTCGCTGAGGTCTCCTGCGCAGGAAGACACCATACTGCCTTCAGGTGTCTCCGCCTCCTCTGCTCCGCTAGGCTGCTCAGTGCTCCCCATGGTGGCCATGAGTGATAGTGAGTCGTCGCGGTCCGGCTCCGCTGACGGGCTGGTGTTGATGCTGGTGTCGTTCCACTCTGTGCGGTCCATCCTTGTGCTATTGAAGCTGTAGTACTCTGGAGGAGTCTCCCGGTCCAACATGGGGAAGTCTGCCGTCTGGTCATGCATGGACTTGGAGTTGGCCATGGACTCACCCTCCTGGCTTTCGATGGTAGACTGGCTCCTGTTAATTCCTCTCTGGCTTTGTATCTCCAGCTCCATATCCAAAGAGAAGTTAGCCTGGGCGGACGGATCCTTACATACCACCACACTACTGCGGTTGTTGCCATCCTGCCACAGCTGGACCTTGGAGCAGTGCGCCTCCTGTTGGCCTGGAGAATTCTCTGTGGCTCCAATATGGCCGCCGCTGGTATCACCACAGGCTGACTGGAAGCTATCCTGAAGGTTGACCAGACAGCCCACTGCTGTGGATGGGAAGGTAGTGGTAGTAAAGGACTGAGGCTGACATCTCCTGAACTGCTGCACTGCTCCTGCTGCCACCTGGTGGTGGACTTGGACTGACTGGACTCCGTTCCCTGAACAGTTGAACAGATTTAGCTCCTCCTTCAGGTTGTTGGGAAGAAGACCTAACTCTTTCTCCTCTTCTATGAGGAAGACAATAACATGGTTGTATCAAAATAAAGAAACAATAGAGCTAAACAAAACAACTTCTGTTGTGGTGATGAAATCAATGTAACTTTGTGGGATTCATAAAGTAGTAGCTACTGCTACTATTACTTGGCTGTTAGTGTGGAATGAGAGACATTTAATATTACCCATTGACTGTGCAGTAGTATATGACTGACTATGAATGGGCATGTTCCTTCCGAGACATAAAATATGTCCATACAATGCAAATATAACAGTATGTTTTCAATTATCATTTTAAAACCACACCTGACTGGCATGCCGGGATCTCCTTCTGGATAGGTGTGCTACAGCGTCGGCATATCTTAGCTCCAGAGGAACAACTGGTTCCACAGTTGGGACACTGAATCACACCATAGAATGTGGGCCTTCTGGATCTGAGAACAGCAGATATGAAATTAGAACAGGATACAATGGTAGCTTTTACCCTGCTAAATTTATGACAACTACTGGTTGTAGAATCACACCTGGTGACCAACAAATGTAGTTATCTGAATTGACAGGAGAGAGAACATACTTGTTTAGGTTTGATGACATCGTCTGCGTAACAGCAGGAGGTTTCCAGCAACCTCTCACCTGTTCTGTATACAATTTTGAAAAAAACTAATGTTATCAAATATAAAGTGATATAAAAGTATAATACAACTATTAATTGAGTAAAATATACAGAGTAAAGCCAGTATAGCGGTATATGTGAGTATGATATGTAGGCTCAGGGACAGCGGTGTACTGCAGTTTCACGAGGCCCCCTGCAAGGTCTAAGCAAGGGCCCATGTTCTCAGAAGAAAAAGAATTTGGAGTGGAAACAGCACATTTCTTGTAATTCTACACATTTTGTCATGAGGCTGAAAGAAAAGTTAGCAGTTTTAAAAGCACATTTCCTGCTAATCTACACATTTTGCCATAAGGCCGAGAGAGAATTTTGCAGTTTTAAAGCTAATTTCCTGTAATTCTAAACATTTTGCCATGGCTTATGATGTGTTCATATGCTATGAGCACTGATACGCCAGTGCTCAAGGATAATTCAACCAGGGTTACAACAGAAAATAGATTAAAGTCAAGCAGAGCCATAACTCACGTTTAACATAAACCAGTTGTCTGGCTACTTCCAGAGCAGGATGCCTCTGCAGAAACTGATGGAGTCCTCCTTCCTCTGTGGAACAGAAAGTTGAAAGGGAAAGACAACTAATCCGTTGCTCAGTTTTCACTGAGACTACAGAAAGTAGGCTGTCAATTGGATTAATATTTTACAGTCAATTGGTGGCCCTGGATAGGGATTCTATACAACTGTTTTGTAATTTGACGGCAAAACTGTAAGGACACTATTGGGAGCTTTTGTTTCTCTATAATACAACCTTCCCTGGTCCCTACTGTACCTTGTATGAGCTTCCTGTCCTCCACAGGCAGGGATAAGTACCAACCCAGCAGCTTGGGGTCTGTCAGTTCAAGGAAATGGGTGACTTTCACCAGGTCAAACACAGACCTGTAACATGCAGAGTTAGACCTAGGTTGCGTCCTGATTCTCCAAACCTCTCCCAAAGTATGCACTTGTACACTCCCAGTCTTGGATTTAAAAGCATTGGATTGGTGTAAGTGTTGGCTAGACAGAATTTCCACCATTATTAAATCCATGACAGGGAGTGTGCAAGTGCACACTTCAGCAGAAGGGTGGAGAAATGGGATGCACAATAGACTATTTCATGTTCTTGATTCTCTCATTACAGTATAAAGAATGTGCTGGGACTGATAGACATGATCTATACCTGTTGAGAAGGAATTTCCTGCAGTCCTCTATCAACAAAGACGGAGGGGCTGTATTGAGGTAAAGGCACATTATTAATGCATGTAATTTCCCAAGGCAATGACGGAGAATACATAAATGGGTTGGACATAATATTAATTATTTTGTAATGAATTTGGAAAGCTCAAGTTAAAAAGTGAAAGGGCATTCCATTGATTATGAGTTTTGTGTTGTAAGAGGAAGCATCCCTCGTGCTTATTACTTTGATAGTGTTTATTTTTTTAAACAAATTCTTCTCCACAATTTCATGATATCCAATTGGTAGTTACAATCTTGTCTCATTGCTGTAACTCCCCAACGGGCTCGGGAGAGGTGAAGGTTGAGACAAGCATCCTCTGAAACATGACCCGACAAGCCGCGCTGCTTTTTAAAACACTGTTCGCTTATCCCGGAAGCCAGCCGCACCAATGTGTCGAAGGAAACACAGTTCGACTGACGACCGAAGTCAGCTGGCAGGCGCCCGGCCCCCCACAACGAGTCGCTAGAGCGTGATAATCCAAGGAAAGCCCCCTGGCCAAACCATCCCCTAACGGCGCTGAGCCTATTGTGCGCTGCCCTATGGGGCTCCCGGTCACGGATCGAACCCCAGGCTGAAATGCCTTAAGGCGTCAGCATGCTTCAGTTCGGCTGGCGCCTAGCCGAGGAACCGAACAAGTGTGCTTGCATACGCTCTTAAATTTTTTTGTTTAAGCGTACCGTTTGTCCATTTTGAGACGCCATAGCCAGTATACACTTCCTCAAAATAGTCTGAATTAATCTAAGATGACTCAAGAAATCTTAGTCACACAATTTTATATCTAACTAAGATGTTTGATGCAGTATTTCTCAACGAAAACATGAAAACAAGTTGTCTCTTGTTGAATGACAACAAAGCCTTTATTGAAGAATCCCTACTGTTGACCAATCACAGACTCGTTTTCATGCAAATTCTTTCATTGAGAAATACTGCAAAATATCATAATATATGCACAAACTCTTCCAAACTGTTTTGACTGGGAAGAATGGGACAGATGCCTTTAGACCCCTGCACCACTTGGAGGATAGTGTTTTAAACAATATGTAACTTTTTGGGTAACCTGACCAAATTCACATAGAAATATGGGTTATAAATCTGTCATTCTCATTGAAAGCAAGTCTAAGAAGCGGTAGATCTGTTCTATTTCTATGCTTCCCATGCTTAAATTTAATTTGTGCATATTTTACTTTAGGTTTTGTACACCAGTTTCAAACAGCTTAAAATACAATATTTGTATTTAATTAAAATATATTTCACAGCGGTTTGGATGGTACAATGATTATCCATTACTTGTTTTGTCACAAACGAAATTAGGCGAACTATTCGAATTTTGGCAACCAGAAAATGGCTGAGCGATTTCTGCATATTTAAAAGCACTCCCCCCCTGACTTACCAGCCAACCCGTTCATTGCAGTTTGAAAGAAACGTTGTTCATAAGGTACCATATGTATCTGAATCATCCCTGATGCACAGGGTGTCTGTGAAATATCTGATGGACGCTGTGGCTCCGGCGACAGAGGTAATGGCATGAGCACTGGGAAAGGATACCACATGTTCTGAAAAACATACAACCAATTATCAGATGGAGCTGATGCACTTTGATGAAGGCCAGAAATTAATAGATGCGCCATGCGGTTTGAATATATGTGGACATGTTATTAATAACATTTAACTGAGTCCCTTAGATTTATTTGAATATGAACCAATTCAACTAGATACATGGGACATATGGGAGCCTATTTATTACATCCCCATGACATTACTAAATATAGCCTAACGCAGCTAAAAAAACGTTTTACAGGTGTTTGCAATACATTAAAAGCAGCGATATTCTTTACAGCTTTATCTAACGTCATTGGAACGAAGAATATCAACTAGTTTGTCGATAAATATTGACATGTTATGCTGTATCAGTTTACCTTGGTCGAAGTGGTAGTATGTTGTGAAGCGCGTATTTAATAAATTGCACGTGCACGCCACCTGCCAGAGCGGTCGATTGATTTTGACAGCCAATCAGGTTCTTCGACACCGAAACGTAATTAGAGGCTCAGGCTTTGGAACTGGTATTGTTGTACTTTGTTGTTGTACAACAGCATGTGTGGTGTGCTATGAATCAGAGACGGAAGAGGAAGCAAGACACCCCACTTGCTGGTTTTTTCTGGTTCAATGAAAGTCAATTAACTTAGTAGACCAGACACAGCTGCTATTGCATTGGTGTTTATGGGAGACACACCCAGTTAAGTAGACCGGAATTAATAATTTTTTCAATGGTAAACGGCCTGAGTTTTATTTTATTTTACCTTTATTTAACCAGGTAAGCCAGTTGAGAACAAGTTCTCATTTACAACTGCGACCTGGCCAAGATAAAGCAAAGCAGTGCGATAAAAACAACAACACAGAGTTACATATGGGGTAAAACAAAACATAAAGTCAAAAATACCACAGAAAATATATATACAGTGTGTGCAAATGTAGCAAGTTATGGAGGTAAGGCAATAAATAGGCCATTGTGCAAAATAATTACAATTAGTATTAACACTGGAATGATAGATGTGCAAGAGATGATGTGCAAATAGAGATACTGGGGTGCAAATGAGCAAAATAAATAACAATATGGGGATGAGGTAGTTGAGTGGGCTAATTTCAGAAGGGCTGTGTACAGGTGCAGTGATCGGTAAGGTGCTCTGACAACTGATGCTTAAAGTTAGTGAGGGAGATAAGAGTCTCCAGCTTCAGAGATTTTTGCAGTTTGTTCCAGTCACTGGCAGCAGAGAACTGGAAGGAATAGCGGCCAAAGGAGGTGTTGGCTTTGGGGATGACCAGTGAGATATACCTGCTGGAGCGCATTCTACGGGTGGGTGTTGCTATGGTGACCAATGAGCTAAGATAAGGCGGAGATTTGCCTAGCAGTGGTTTATATAATAATAATAATAATATGCCATTTAGCAGACGCTTTTATCCAAAGCGACTTACAGTCATGCGTGCATACATTTTTGTGTATGGGTGGTCCCGGGGATCGAACCCACTACCTTGGCGTTACAAGCGCCGTGCTCTACCAGCTGAGCTACAGAGGACCACTTTATAGCGTAGATGGCCTGGAGCCAGTGGGTTTGGCGACGAATATGTAGTGAGGACCAGCCAACAAGAGCGTACAGGTCACAGTGGTGGGTGAACTATCTTCATTTATCCACCATCTTTGCTATGAATTTCATGAGCAAAAACATGGATAGAAATGGTAACAACTGGAAAACCGAAACACTTTCACTTTTTAAAGTGGCTAGCTAGCTAGCGGTTTCTTTGACAGACATATTAATTCATATTTACCACGATTTTTATGATCCTAGCTAACAGCTAGGTAATAAAATGCAGCTTTTTAGCTGGTTTATGTTTGTCTTTATGGTTAAAATAATGAACTGGTAAACATTTAGCTAGCTAGCTGTTAGCTAACACCTGACAAGTTGAAGCTGTCTGTTGTTACTCACATGGTGATGGTGTTGATTTTAGCACTGAGATCTGCACAATGAAACATCCACATTTCCAATTACAGCCCTGAGTATTAATTGTATAATAACGTTTGGAATTACCTAAATTACCTAATAGATCATCATTCAATCACGATTTTCTTATTTTTCAGCTAGCACGTGTTGCTGTTCACAGCAGTTCTTTGTAGATGTAGTAATATCGCTTTTCCACTGGAGGGCAGTCATGGTTCAATGAAGCGATAGTACAGTACATTCTCCGTTGCAAGGTGTGTGTGTGTGTGTGTGTGTGTGTGTGTGTGTGTGTGTCCACTAGGTGAAGTCTGTTGTGTAATACAGAGGATCAAGGCCAGTGTGACAGCTCCTGGAGAGAGATCAGGATTGGGTCTAATCAGGGTTGAACGTGAGGATCAACACCATTTGCTCTCTCCCTATATCTGTTCCTGTATCCTACTCACTAGTATTGAAATTGACCTTAATAGACCACATTTCATCATTAGTAATTTCATGAAATAAGAATCTGCGATAACCCAAAGAAAATATTTGTTGTCCCAAATGCTTTTAAGTAACGTATTTTAATCTCAAAAAGAGAAATAGCCTGTTACAGTGTTACATCATATTCATAACATTGTCAAAATGTTCCTATCAAACATTCCTCTTCTTCACAAACCAGGAACCACTGTGAGTTAGGGTGTGTCTCCTACCGCTCCTACTGCATGAAAGCAACAAACTGCAGTGAGTCCTGGCCATGTGGCGCTGGACTAAAACCTCTATATGCATTAGTTGCCTGTCTGCCACGTCTTGTTTCTTAGAGAGGGGATCAATAAGTCATTTTAATGCAGTCATTAGCTGTCTGTATGGTCAAATGTATGTTGATGTTTGAAATGATTTCAAATACTATTTGAACCCAGGTCTGCTATCTGGCCTGCGCTGTTATTTCCAGGGAGGATTGAAGCGGGCGGGCTGAAGGTTAAGTGGCTTTCTAAGACTGGACATTTCCACAGTGATGTGACATCTGATCAGCCTCAATCTGATCACTGCGTCCTTGGTAAGTGGATCAAGCCCATCAAATAGGGAACAGTGCTAAAACCTGATTGAGAGAGAGAGAGGGTGTGAGGGGGAGGGAAGATTTGCATTATTAGAGACGGAGAGAGATAGCTGGAAGGTACATTGATAAGACTTTGGTCAGCAATTTCTGAAAATAATTAGATTGTATTTATTTACTGTGTAGAATAAACATAGAATTTGTGGTCTCATCTTTTAGATTTTTTTAGTAGGCCTACCACTGCACTGATTTTAGTCAACTACCTTCGCCAGCAGGTTTTCCAAGAAAGTTCCAAAACTATACCCCCTCCTCATCTATTTTACATACAGAAGTGCAACTGTTCTTCCGATGTAGTTTACAAACAGAGAGTACTATAGTTCAGGACCATTTAGCATACCTGTACATTTGTACATCTGAGAGACATACATTTCATACATTTTACATGAAAACAAAAAAGGTTTTCTATCTCGTATTGTCTTGCCTCACACTGGAGAATTGTTTTTGTGATGGAATTACAAGCTACATGTGAATTAGTCTCCAAACTACATGTGAATTAGCCTCCAAACTACATGTCAACTATTCTCCAAGCTATATGTGAATTAGCCTCCAAGCTATATGTGAATTAGCCTCCAAGCTATATGTGAATTAGCCTCCAAGCTACATGTCAACTAGTCTCCAAGTTACATGTCAACTAGTCTCCAAGATACACATGAACTAGGCCTAGTCTCCTTTTGCGATTCCCTATAGTGGCTTAGATATGTAGGCTAGTGTACCGGAATGTAGTCTGTTGTATAGATCGTCGGTACTCTCCTTCTCTCCTTTAAAACTGTGAAAATTAATCATTGAAACTTGACGGCTTGATAGCCTAACATCTGTGCAGTGTCTAGATTTTGAACTCACAGTCAGAAACATACAGTGGGGCGAGCATCTACCATGTAGCAGAGTTGATTAAATAAACATCAGTTAATGGCTGAGTGATGCTCCATACCATCAGGGCAGGCAGACTCACAGTGCCATTTGGGATGCAGACACAATGGGCTCTTAAGACAACCCCACTAGCTGCCCGGATGCAGTTGATCTAAGGGCAGTGTGAGTCCCTCTGGGACCCCCAAAGGGCCTTTAACAGCAATGAGAAGCACTCTTCTCTCTTTTCTCTGCTCTTCCAATCGATTGGGATTGAGCGAGAGAGATGGAGAGAGATGGAGAGAGCAGCGACCCAGACAAGTAGTGGAGGGCAAACCCCTCTCTGGCCCTGAAACACTGAGCTTTTAAAGAGCCCTGGATTAACAAAGAATAAAGAGCTGGACACAGTTTGTGCTTGGTCTCTATCGAGAACACAGGATCTACATTTCCCTGTTTTAGCTAGTATGAGTAAAATAGTCACTATCTGTAAATTGCTCCTCTGTCCTAAACGTGTTTCTGTAATCCTAGATTATGAATTATTTGTTGAGGTTTTACACGATTGTGATGAAAGCATTCATCTTTAATTCATAGACAAATTGAAATATTTATTAATACACAGGTTGCTTTTTTGTTGCATAATTTGTCATGTTTCTTTGCGTACTTCCCTACGTAAAATGTACAAATATGACATGAATATGCTAGTACTGTATTTAAAAAGATGGTATTTAAGACTACTGTATTGTAAACCAACTCATGAAAATGCATAATCGCTGAACAGCAGCTATTGTTTGTCCTTGTACAGGCTCAGGCTGGGGGAATGTCTTCCTACGCAGAGTTAAAAGTAGCCTGCTTGAGGAAAAATAAAATGACCACTTCCAATTTTCAAGAATTCTTCTGACATGTCATCATGCCAGCCTTGAAAAGGGCCAAACAAACTCACTGCCCTTATTCATTTCACTTATTTAACCAGTAACAATTGCCACTGCTTTCCAGGGAGTCCTGGTATATTCTTTCCTCAGTGTTGCTCAACCAGTTGCAATGGGAGAGTAGAGGGTAATCTTTAACAAAGGAAATATTAAACAGAGAAAAGGCATGTGACTTGTCAGTAATTAGCAAAGCCGAGCAGTGACCTTCAGTGCAGAACATCAACTGACTGTGGGTTAGTCCCAAATGGCAACCTAATCCCTAAATAGTGCACTACTTTTGACCAGGTCTCTGGAAAAAGGGGGCCATTTGGTATGCAGTCTGTCTGTGATGATGAGGGAACAGGCAGGGGCATCATGCAACCCAATAATCTGAGGGGGCACAAAGTATGCAAGGATGGTTGGGGGGTGGTCCGTAGTGGGGCGGTCCGTAGTGCGGCTACACCCCCTGTCCGTAAATTGGATAATTGTGCGTTTTTCAAACACCTGAAACAGCCTTTTCCCGCAATCTAGAGCCATAATCATTATGCTTAATTCTATGTCAAATATATGTATATTTTGCTGCATATCTAAGCATACCTCTTCAGCTGTCTGTATCCTTCTGACTGGTGGTTCTTTTGAAGAAACTAAATATGCTTCTCTGCTCAAATCTGGCTAAAAGATTGAAAGGAATGAGTCTTATTCAGTACATTTAGTTATTGCTTGATTTTCTAAAGTCTACCAACCTTGTCAGCAGGCATGGCAACCAAGATAGTAGGACAAGCTAGCAAATCTAACTTGATGGATAGCCTGAAATGGCTTCTAGTAGTAATAAAGGGATAATTATTTTATTTTTACAGGACAAATTTGAGTGGCCACATGCCCCTGTGCCCCCTATGGGCATGACACCTATGGGAACAGGGAAGGGAATGAGGACACAACAGACCAGACCACAGGATGTGAAGCAGAAAGGACATTTTATTGTACCCAGTACAGATCATTATAAACTCAGCAGTGTAAGGTACACGTTGTGAAGAGGGCGAGGTGAAGCCTATACAAGTGCAGACAACCCTTGGTCAGGTCAGGGAAAATACTATAGGTGGATACACACATCTCTTCATCTGAAATGACACCCTTTTCACTGAATATACAAACATTATGAATACCTCTTTTCATGACAGACTGACCAGGTGAAAGCTATATTCTCTAATTGAGATCACTTGTTAAATCCACTTCAATCAGCGTAGATGAAGGAGAGGAGACAGGTTAAAGAAGGATTTTTTTGCCTTTTAAACAATTGAGACATGGATTGTGTATATGTACCATTCAGTGGGTGAATGGGCAAGACAAAATAATTAAGTGCCTTTGAACGGGGTATGGTAGGTGCCAGGCTCACCGGTTTGTAAATAACTGCAACGCTGCTGGGTTTTTCACGCTCAACAGTTTCCCGTGTGTATCAAGAATGGTCCACCACCCAAAGGACATCCAGCCAACTTGACATAACTGTGGGAAGCATTGGAGTCAACATGGGCCAGCATCCCTGTGGAACACTTGACACCTTGTAGAGTCCATGCCCTGACGAATTGAGGCTGTTCTGAGGGCAAATATTAGGAAGGTGTTCTTAATGTTTTGTAAACTCAGTGTATATAGTAAACTACTTTTGACCAGGGCCAATAGGTCTCAGGTGTATTATTATTATTATTTTTATTTTTTTAAATAGTCCACTATACACGGTAGGAACCCCAGCCATACTACCCCTTTAGAACTAAGACATTCTTGTTCTTCATCCTTTCATTCACCAAGAGTGGCCTCTGAATCACTGTCTGCAGTACTATTTGAGTCACAGGTATCCAGATTTTTTTAAAAGATACATACGTTGTTATAGGCAGAACTATACAGGCTTATACAATAATAAAATCAAACAGATGCAGACTTAGCAAAAATATATATTTATATAAGTTTGTATTTTTCCCATTTAATAAACAAACGTGAACAAAATGCAGAGTTTCACAATCTGCTTCTTTGTCCAGAGTAGAGTAAAGCGATATGTTAGTGGACAGTTTGTTTCAATACACCGTCATGCAAAGAGAAGCAGGGGTCTCTTGTTGACAACCTGTGATTGGCAGAAAGGAGTCCAGGGAACGGTGTAGCATTTCACCCCTTTGCATGCAAGGTCCTGAACGATGCCGTCCTACCATCCTAATGCATCTGAGAAATATAGTACACTCGCTGCTGAGGAAACATCAAGCACCCAATAAAATAAAAAAATTAAGATTTGACCTTTTTAATAATATAACTTTTTAGGCATGTATAAATTCAAAATCTCTAGGAAAAATATTGACTGAGGTGTCCCTTTTGGAAAATAAAAAGGATTCCTGCAGGGCCTAGTTTTTTATTTCTTTTTTTTTTTTAGAGGTGGAGTGCTGATTAGTCAGTTACAACTTTGAGGCAATATAAGGAGTGAGTTTATGAAAAATGGTGTGGAGTGTCACTATAAAGGAGAATGTCTGGTGGCTCAGAGTCTGCATCCAAAATTCACCCCATTTCCTTTATATTTCACTTATTTTGACCATAGCCTTGTGGGCTTTGTAAAGTAGTGCACTATATATAGTGAATGGAGTGTCGTTTCAGATGCAGCCACAGCTCTCGGAGAGGCTGGAGCTTTACGCTAGTAGGGCACTCACAGGTAACCTCAGCTAACCCAGCAGAACAGAACAAACATTAAATAATTACACTGGATAAAAACACAGCCGGGCCGGCATTAAACACAAACAATAAAAAAACGTAGGCCTCTGGTCAGAGGAATCCATCCATCTAATCTGAAACAATAGAATATCCCAGTGGGTTAGAGTACTACTAGGTCTAAATCCTTAACCAATTGTAGAAAAGCCAGCATACTAACAGACATTTCTATACTAAAAGACGTTTCTTAAGTCTACATAAACAAATAGGTGTGTAGGTTTGGAGTTTTTCTTTGCTGTAGTTTTTTTTGCAAATTAAAGTCCTTGCTTACACAGATCTTATTGTTCATATGTGGCAGAAAATATATAATTATGGGGGACGAAAAAGGCAACTATAGAATAGTGCTGCATTTATATATTTTAACTTTTAATATACTTATTTTACTCTTTTAGAAAAAAGGAGATTGTCAATCAGAATTGCTACAATTCTTGCACAGAGACCCATCTGGCAGTCCTCCGGCATGTTGTCATCATAACGCGGCCCCTGGGCCTCCATCACTTCCTCTTGGTCTCCATTGCAACAACAACGCCACCTCGCCTTAAGTCGGAGGAGCCACTGGAGTCCATTCCGCACTTCCACGGCCCCCCTCTCTCTTGGTACAGTAGATGATGCCAGAGAAGGTGGTTGGTGCAGGTTTCTCCTCAGTCGTTTCAGGGGGAGGGAGGGTTAAGTTAATCTGTAAGTTGGCAAGATCGGAGGAGTAATTTAGCGGTAAGAGGAGAGGGAGGTTTCGGGTTCAGGTTTGATCCAGTTTCTTGCTCAGCCTCAGCCGTTTGATCTCTGGGTCGGGTTTAGTAGTAGTAGGGGAAGTGTGTCAGTAGCCGTAGCCATCAGGGAAGGGCAGGCCTCCTACACACTGCTCCCCAGAGTCCACCAGGTAAGGGGTGTTCTTGTCGTAGTGGGTGAGGGGCAGGGTGTCGTCGTCCACCTGACCGCAGGGCAGGCTGTCAGGGTCAGCCTTCAGGTTGGGCCTCTGGTTGTCAGGGAAGGCCATGGAGAACAGGGCCTCAGGGTCACACACAAACTTGTACACGTACCTCTCACCAGCAACCTGCAATAGACCAATCAGAGGAGAGGAGAACAAGTTAGTTCGACCCACAGAATCAAATAGAACACAATAGTTAACATTATATTATACGTAACTAAGGTTAAACCTTGCGGACTGCAGCATCATCCCCCAAGGTTTATTCAAGTAAGCCAATAGCTAGCTTGCTCCGAAGGCGGCGTAATGCTGTTGCTAAGGAGAAATAGGGAAGGATAGAAAGGATTAACCTGCCTTTACCTTCTGCATGATGCCCTTCTCGTAGTAGTACCGCAGAGAACGACTCAGCTTGTCATAGTTCATGGCTGGCCTGTTCTTCTGGATGCCCCAGCGGCGAGCAACCTGAAGAGACAAGACAGAGAAAATACTGTCAGTCACAATGCCTGATTGAACATCTTAAAAAAAAAAAAAAATACGGTTTGAATAAGTACGCCAACTTTCAATAGCCTCAACTATTACTAGGACCAGGGCAAGGAACTGACCTCTTCAGTCATTGTAGGAGATTATCTCTCAAAATCCCTAAATATGTCATGTTTATCAATGTAAAATCACAATAAAAACCTAAATTAAAAAACAATATATTTCCAACGGACCTCTTCTGGCTCTATGAGTTTGAATTCCATGCCCCGGCCTGTCCAGGCGATGAAGTGACCGTTGGCCGGGTCGTCCAATAAGGTGACCAGGAACTGCCAGAGCTGCAGAGAGCCACGACGCTGGTAGGGAGGGCCGTCACGGTACACTGAGGGCTCCTGCTTGACCTTCCCTGTGAAGAGGGAGAGGGGGAATAGAGAGAAATGGAAAGAAAGAGAAGAGTGTCAGTGAGAACTGTACTCCACCACAGCTAGCTACAGTGTGGTGAGACATTTCTAGGAGACAGTGACTGAAGTGGAGCAGGCTGCTCATTTTACACCCGCCTGCCATCTCTGCTGCTCAAAGGAGACTTTCTCCAGTTCTTCTCTTTAGTCAGTGATGCAACAGACATCCTACAAATCCTGTCCTTTCAAATACTGCCAGCAGTGGAGCAGAGACTGAGTCCTCCATGTGCTGCTTGTAAAGCTCTCCCCCCAAGGGTGGAATGAACCCCATGCTGCGCAAAAAGCTCTCGCCCAAGGACAGGACCCAGGGACGTGACAAAGTATTTTTTACCTTCAAGTCTGTCAGGAACCACACAGGTATCTTCGTAGTACAGGTGAAGCTCTCTGTTGAAGGAGAAACCTGTAATATATAAGAGAGAGCGCAAGAGAGAGACATTAGCTAGGGCGTGGGAATACGACCTCCATTTTGCTGTGGAGGCCAGCTACTAATGTTCCAGGGGGACTAAACTGCTCACAAAGCAATATAGCCGGGCAGCCTCCCAAGAGTGGAAAATTCTGTTGTGCTAATATCATGCAGTGCTGCTGAGCTGTGTTGAAATGCTCACAGTGAAAACCTAAAACAGGAGTCGTTGATAGATGCAACATCCCGAGAGACGTCATTCTAATGTTGAGCTCTACCATCCGGCCTGTCCTATTGCCCAACCATGCAGCACTTTTCAACAGTGCAATAAGTCACAAGGAGGGTCAACAGCTACCAAGGGTTTGAGAGACTTTCCCTTGTTTTACTAGCTGCTATTCGCACAAAACGGACACCTTCCTAGTAATGTTTTTACTGCAAAAGCTCTAATAAATACGATTTCCAATGCTTTTATTACATGTCAAATAAACTTCAAACCACCCTCTGCTAAGATGGGAAAACTGTAACAATAACTTACTTTCATGGTTGTTTTGGTAGAAGGTCCCTGCTCTTCCAAATGTAGACTGACAGATAGGCACTTCTGTAATACAGAGAGAGAGAGAAGACAGGTTAGTTACACTTACAGCCTCTTTCCATTCCCATACATATTAAACACAACATATCAACCTCTGCCATGAGTATATTTGGCCGCTGCTCTGCTCGCACGCTAGTAAAAGGGAGAGCGTACATATTCCCTAGTAAAGGGAGAGCGTACATATTTCCTAGTAAAGGGAGAGCGTACATATTCCCTAGTAAATGGAGAGCGTACATATTCCCTAGTAAAGGGAGATCGTACATACAAGCAGTATCAATTTACTATATGTGTGTCATTGGGATATGTTCGGTCTCTATTCCGTTTGTGAATTGTGTGGTGCGATAACCTAGTCAGGTTGCATTTGTGGTCCCACCCATTGACGTGGTTGGTGACATGAGGGTGAACACTGTGGAACGGAAAGCTTTACTTTACTACTGTTCTACCTGCTGCTGCTCTTACACAACTGGCTTTGACCTAGCAACCAAACAGCTGGGCTGTAAATGTCCACTAGTTATCCCACCACATCTGTTGGAGCAGGCTAAGCCCAGATCAGAGCACACTACGCAGCACGCAACAGGCCTCGCATGTCCACTGAGCCCCAAAATAGGATTACCCGTCGGCATTAGGACAGGTTGGGCTTTCAGATATTAAATCATGACAATCAAGTTATGCCTCTGTCGCCCATGGGATCAAGCCCCGCCCCCTTTAACTTCTGTGTCACTGTGGCGGAAGTGAAGTGTCCCCACCCTACGTTTCCTGTTCTCTGGTGAGGTGCAGATCTTTATTACACTTTAGGGCCATTTCTACAAAGCGTTTAATCTTGTACTGTCAACTCAAGTTTGGGCCTGTTACAGCATCATATGCTCTATCCAATTGCAACTCATTGGTTGTCTTAGATGGCACCCGATTCCATATAAAGTGCACCAATTTTGACCAGAACCCAAAAGTAATGCACTATATTGGGAATAGGGTGCAATTTCTGACACATCCATTATCTGGTGAGCCATCCCGACCAGGAGAGCCAAAAGTCTGATGGTGACTGATGGTACAGTGAGGGAAAAAAGTATTTGATCCCCTGCTGATTTTGTACGTTTGCCCACTGACAAAGAAATGATCAATCGATAATTTTAAAATGGTAGGTTTATTTGAACAGTGAGAGACAGAATAACAACACAAAAATCCAGAAATACGCATGTCAAAAATGTTATACATTGATTTGCATTTTAATGAGGGAAATAAGTATTTGACCCCCTCTCAATCAGAAAGATTTCTGGCTCCCAGGTGTCTTTTATACAGGTAACAAACTGAGATTAGGAGCACACTTAAAGGGAGTGCTCCTAATCTCAGCTTGTTACCTGTATAAAAGACACCTGTCCACAGAAGCAATCAATCAATCAGATTCCAAACTCTCCACCATGGCCAAGACCAAAGAGCTCTCCAAGGATGTCAGGGACAAGATTGTAGACCTACACAAGGCTGGAATGGGTTACAAGACCATCGCCAAGCAGCTTGGTGAGATGGTGACAACAGTTGGTGCAATTATTCGCTAATGGAAGAAACACAAAATAACTGTCAATCTCCCTCAGCCTGGGGCTCCATGCAAGATCTCACCTCGTGGAGTTGCAATGATCATGAGAACGGTGAGGAATCAGCCCAGAACTACACGGGAGGATCTTGTCAATGATCTCAAGGCAGCTGGGACCATAGTCACCAAGAAAACAATTGGTAACACACTACGCCGTGAAGGACTGAAATCCTGCAGCGCCCGCAAGGTCCCCCTGCTCAAGAAAGCACATATACAGGGCCGTCTGAAGTTTGCCAATGAACATCTGAATGATTCAGAGGAGAACTGGGTGAAAGTGTTGTGGTCAGAGAAGACCAAAATCGAGCTCTTTGGCATCAACTCAACTCGCCGTGTTTGGAGGAGGAGGAATGCTGCCTGTGACCCCAACACCATCCCACTGTCAAACATGGAGGTGGAAACATTATGCTTTGGGGGTGTTTTTCTGCTAAGGGGACAGGACAACTTCACTGCATCAAAGGGACGATGGACGGCGCCATGTACCATCAAATCTTGGGTGAGAACCTCCTTCCCTCAGCCAGGGCATTGAAAATGGGTCGTAGGTGGGTATTCCAGCATGACAATGACCCAAAACACACGACCAAGGCAACAAAGGAGTGGCTCAAGAAGAAGCACATTAAGGTCCTGGAGTGGCCTAGCCAGTCTCCAGACCTTAATCCCATAGAAAATCTGTGGAGGGAGCTGAAGGTTCGAGTTGCCAAATGTCAGCCTCGAAACCTTAATGACTTGGAGAAGATCTGCAAAGAACAGTGGGACAAAATCCCTCCTGAGATGTGTGCAAACCTGGTGGCCAACTACAAGAAACATCTGACCTCTGATTGCCAACAAGGGTTTTGCCACCAAGTACTAAGTCATGTTTTGCAGAGGGGTCAAATACTTATTTCCCTCATTAAAATGCAAATCAATTTATAACATTTTTGACATGCGTTTATCTGGATTTTTTTGTTGTTATTCTGTCTCTCACTGTTCAAATAAACCTACCATTAAAATTATAGACTGATCATGTCTTTGTCAGTGGGCAAACGTACAAAATCAGCAGGGGATCAAATACTTTTTTCCCTTCACTGTAGCTATGCCCATATATTGATCAATGAAATGGGCACATGTAGTAGTTCCAGACAATCATATATATTTACAAAATTACTAAATATGTGACCTGGAAGGCAAGACAAATCAAAGTGACAGTCATGTAAGAAATAGTCTGATATCAAACTCTTGGTTCAGGCCTCTAGGAGACATGGTACACAAACAGTGAATCCAATACAATTCTCTTCTCAATAATAGATTATCAGTATCTCCCCCCCTCCTAGGAGTCTTAACATGTTCGATACCAATGTCTAAAGTTGACGAGCATCCATGAAATGCGCAGCCACAGGGTTTCTCTGGTCAAGGGTCCTGATATTACTCCTGTGTTCTGCTATCCTTGTTGTTTTCAGAGCTCGTTTACTTTTTCCTTCATAGCATAGACCACAAATACACTTGATCAGGTATATCACATTTTTTGTGGAACATGTAATGATGCCCTTAATCTTAATGGCCTTGCCCGTAATAGGGTGATTGAACATTGCAGTTGTTCGTAAAGTTACACTGGGTACATCCACCACATCTATAGTTACCGTCCGGCACATTGTCTACAGTCATGGTCAAAGGTTTTGAGAATGACACAAGTATTGGTCTTCACAAAGTTCGCTGCTTCAGTGTTATGAGATATTTTTGTCAGATGTTACTATGGTATACTGAAGTATAATTACAAGCATTCCATAAGTGTCAAAGGCTTTTATTGACAATTACATTACGTTTATGCAAAGTATCAATATTTGCAGTGTTGACCCTTATTTTTCAAGACATCTGCAATCCGCCTTGGCATGCTGTCAATTAACTTCTGGGCCACATCCTGACTGATGGCAGCCCATTCTTGCATAATCACTGCTTGGAGTTTGTCATAATTTGTGGGGTTTTATTTGTCCACCCGCCTCGAGGATCGACCACAAGTTCTCAATGGGATTAAGGTCTGGGGAGTTTCCTGGCCATGGACCCAAAATGTTGATGTTTTGTTCCCCGAGCCACTTAGTTATCACTTTTGCCTTATGGCAAGGTGCTCCATCATGCTGGAAAAGGCATTGGTCATCACCAAACTGTTTTTGGATGGTTGGGAGAAGTTGCTCTCGGAGGATGTGTTGGTACCATTCTTTATTCATGGCTGTGTTCTTAGGCAAAATTGTGAGTGAGCCCACTCCCTTGGCTGAGAAGCAACCCCACACATGAATGGTCTCAGGATGCTTTACTGTTGGCATGCAACAGGACTGATGGTAGCGCTCACCTTGTCTTCTCCGGACAAGGTGTTTTCCGGATGCCCCAAACAATCGGAAAGGGGATTCAGAGAAAATGACTTTACCCCAGTCCTCAGCAGTCCAATCCCTGTACCTTTTGCAGAATATCAGTCTGTCCCTGATGTTTTTCCTGGAGAGAAGTGGCTTCCTCGCTGCCCTTCTTGACACCAGGCCATCCTCTAAAAGTATTTGCCTCACTGTGCGTGCAGATGCACTCACACCTGCCTGCTGCCATTCCTGAGCAAGCTCTGCACTGGTGGTGCACCAATCCCGCAGCTGAATCAACTTTAGGAGACGGTCCTGGCGCTTGCTAGACTTTCTTGGGCGCCCTGATGCCCTACTTCACAACAATTGAACCTCTCTCCTTGAAGTTCTTGATGATCCGATAAATGGTTGATTTAGGTGTAATCTTACTAGTAGCAATATCCTTGCCTGTGAAGCCCTTTTTGTGCGAAGCAATGACGGCGGCACGTATTTCCTTGCAGGTAACCATGGTTAACAGAGGAAGAACAATGATTTCAAGCACCACCCTCCTTTTAAAGCTTCCAGTCTGTTATTCTAACTCAATCAGCATCACAAAGTGATCTCCAGCCTTGTCCTCGTCAACACTTTCACCTGTGTTAACGAGAGAATCACTGACATGATGGCAGCTGGTCCTTTTGTGGCAGGGCTGAAATGCAGTGGAAATGTTTTTGGGGGATTAAGTTCATTTTCATGGCAATTAATTGCAATTCATCTGATCACTCTTCATGACATTCTGGAGTATATACAAATTGGCATCATCAAAACTGAGGCAGCAGACTTTATGAAAATTAGTATTTGTGTCATTCTCAAAACTTTTGACCACGACTGTAGAAAGGTACTACATAGCACTGGTGGAAGATCAGACCTCACCACCATTTGACTGATGTTGGGGGCGTGTCTGAAGACTACCTGTGGGGGTTCTTTAAACGTATTTTCCAGTTGTGGATCAGTGCTCAAGATGTGCCAGTGTTTTTTAATGATGTAGTCGAACTGTTTGCCAAGTGGGGAGTATTGAAGGAAGCATTGAACACGTTGGTCAGGAGGTCGGGGAGGTTTGGGCGTGAGGCTGTCATCCTGGGTCATGCAGCAATTCCTCTGGGTAACCCCGCTGTCTGAAACGCTCATCTAGATAGTCGGCTTTTTTGTCATGTTCACTCTGTGTACTACAAATCCTGCTTATGCGACTATATTGGCTGATGGAGAGGCTCTTTTTTAGGGGTGTAGGGTGGAAGCTGTCTCCGCGTAACAGGGAATTCCTGTCCGTCGGCTTCCTGTATAGGTCCGTGCTAAAGCCACCCCCTCCCTCTTAATGAAAATGTCAAGAACTTGTTTCATGCGCATTTGAGAAAGAAATCTACAAAAGCAGAAATATTTTCAGTCAATGGAGGCCACAATAAGTCTCCCTGGTGGCTTATCCAGTTGTTTTTGCACCCACCATGCGTCATGTCCGCAATGGTCATGTGAGGTGAAATGTGTATATTTTGTGATGTGAACTCTGTTTGTTTGACCTGACAAAGATCCGTTTTGGATCGAAATGTTGTAATAAAGCAGTGAATTGGGAGCTTTAACAGTGTACGGGCCTTCTTGTTCTTTACTAGTATTCTTTATTAGCCCAGCACCTGTTTTTAAGGATGTGCGTATGACCAAACTTTTCTATAGGCTATGCCCATATGCACATAAATCCATCCACAGAGAGAGAGACCGAGGCTGGCTAGTGAGCCTTTATGTTGACGTACGTATTTATAGGCTGTAAGAAGCTTAGCATTACATCACTGAGGATTTAGCATTACATCACTGGCCTCCCAATCATAAAGCTGAAAGGGAGAATGAGAGAGGGACCATGCAAAGCTGGCCTGAGCAGAGGAGGGAAGGAGAGGTGGGCGTTGGTGGGAGAGGGACAACAGCTGGGGTGCATGGGCATTGGGGTAAAAAAAAAAGTACACAATTGTACTTCTCTTGCAGGCTTACCTATAGGTACACAGTGTTGGATTGTGTAGCTAAGACTTTTGGGATGGGAGACAACTGCATCTGGCAATAAGTCAATCTGCATAAGTCTATTGCATTCATTTCAATGTAAATCTCAGTGCAGCTGGTGGAGGAGGATCCTTGTAGTGTACCGCATGGTAGTAAAGTTCATACTTGCATACTAACTCCCTCTATAAACACAGCGTAGTGTCACAAATCTATCCTAGGTAGATCCTATACTAGTGAAGTAGGTTTCCCTGAACCTGGCTGGGATGACGGACCTATTTACCTTTTGGCCGATGCAGAGTCTTAAACCGGGTACAGAAACCCATGAGTGTCGGAGAGCAGAGTGATTTAAGAGCCACGCGGTCATGTGTGTGTTACGAGTCCCGACACAGGGCTGTGCGAGGCAAGAGGGGTTTTAAGGGTTCTTTACAGTTGTTTGTTGATGGTTCTGGACTTTGCCGCGCTAAAACTAACAGCCGTGTGCCAGCGAGCAAAATCAACGGGACATTCCTCACCCTCTACCTAGTATGCGGGAGGAGACTGGACTAACTCTACCAGGACAGCAACCTGAATCAGAGAGCCCAAAGGTTGTGTCCGGTTTCACTATCCTCCTGTCCTAAATGCGCACATCCCTTTATGGAAGGAAAGGACTGGTGTAAGAAATAGGGTGGAAACTCGTGCTTACACCAATCCAATGCATTAAGAGGAGTGCACACTTCAGAAGAAGGGTAGAGAATTAAAACCCACGTCAAGACGCACACCCCTCAAATCCTATGAGAACCCTGTGGGTCAGCTATAACTTATGACCCAAGCCGCCTTGGGTTAGACCGATCCAGAGCAGCCTGGAGGTAGCCAGCCACTCACCAGAGTCGAAGCAGAAGTCCCGGGGCTCCTGCTTGATGGCCATGGGGTGGAAGGCAGCCTGAGTGCCCATGGAGGGGACACCCTCCTCGGTGTAGCGGGGGTCCAGCAGCTCCTGCTTGAAGCCGTGTAGAGGCACAGGACCAGGGACCAAGGGCTCAGACATCTGGCGGTGGTAGGGGGGCCTCCCGTCCCTGGGCAGGGTGCTGTGGCTGGGGGCCTGCTGCTGGGCCAGGAACTGGGGGCGAGCCTGGCTCTCAGAGGGAGGGAAGGGTAGACATGGCTCCGACATCTGCCTCTGGAACCTGTGGTGGAGGAAGACATGGGAGAGGGTGGTTATTATTAATGAAAGCTGTTGATATAGAAAACTGTTTGAACAGAGAGATTGAATGAAAGTTAAAGATTCTAATTAACTACTTATGGTTATTGATAAACTGTTGCTTAAAAATATTTAAAACAGATTTAGAGTGAATGGAAACTGTTGGTGATACACTGTCTCTTATGTTAAAAACAGTTTAAGAAAGTGAGTCTCTTGAACTATTGATGAACTGTTGAGAATCCAGCTTTAGACCAAGACGCAGGAGCCAAATTGGCTCACTTATTGCAATTAAGCCAGCGAATACGCGCTGTAAATGAGATGTTGGGGGAAGGTGTCACTAGCTAGCAGATTCTCCAGTGACAGTAAGACTCCCCTTTCTAGACAGAGCTCATTGGCTTGGACACCACAGAGACAAGGCCAATTGCTTCTGGCTGCACATTGGTTCCACATTACTGGCTGGTGATGAGATGCCCTGCATTCCAACACATCCGACCAAGAGTCCTGCCACAGGTGGGGGGGTGACAGGTGGGGTGTAAGAGGACGTGGGTCATTCCCACGGAGGTCTGGTTTAGACAGTCTCCAAAAGAGGAGTCTGTCAGTCATGCTACCAGTGACCTGCCAACCGTGGACCTTCTACTCATCAACAACATAGGTGCACTTTTCCAAAGTCAGCATTAGTGAAAGGTCACAAGGCCTGATACTCTCCACTGGGCTTGGTGTTTAAATGGCACGGTGTGTCTCACAGGGAAATGGAAACATGTGAGCTCCTGTCTCCTTGAGATGTAGATGGGTGTGTACATTTAGAGCAGTCAACTTAGGGTCAGGAGTTAGTCGAAGTCGGAAGTTTACATACACCTTAGCCAAATACATTTAAACTCAGTTTTTCACAATTCCTGACATTTAATCCTAGTAAAATTCCCTGTTTTAGGTCAGTTAGGATCACCACTTTATTTTAAGAATGTGAAATGTCAGAATAATAGTAGAGAGAATGATTTCTTTCAGCTTTTATTTCTTTCATCACATTCCCAGTGGGTCAGAAGTTTACATCCACCCTGAGAGTTGATGATTCATCATGTAGAGGCCATAGAGAAGCCAGATTTAGACATCACATATAATTTAACAGTTCCATTACACGCCATGCTGTTCATATAAATATTTTTTTATAATTTACTGGTTTGTCAGTTATTTATCCCGGAAAAAGGGAGTTGTTTTCGGCGGCCATTCAACCTTAGCGAGAGTTTTTGCAGCACAGCATGGCAGGACCACTCACCTATGCTCAGGGCTGTAGGTGCCATCCTGACTGAGGTGTGAGGGTGGGCAGGGCACTGCAAAGGGCGGGCTCTGGCTGTGGAGTGAGAGCGGCCTCTGCTGGCTGTGGGCGGAGCCAACTGCATGGTTGCCAGGCTGGCCGTGCTGCAGCCCTTGCGCCTGGTTCTGATTGGGTATTTGAGGAGGGGGAGGAGTCTGCTCACTGAGTGGGTGTGTCCCTGGGGTGTTGGTAGAGCTGCACGGTGACACGGGTGTAGTGGGAGGGGTCAATGGCTTATAGCCCAAACTGGGTTTCCTCTCATAGGCACTGTAGAGGGAAGGAGATACAGACAGAGACAGACAGCTTGGGTCAGCATGGTGATAACAGTGGGCTCTTGTCATGTTGGTGTAGTGAAAGGTTACATGAAGTGTGTGTGTGTATAAACGGTCCACACCTGTAGCTGTAAAGGCACTTCTCTCCGTATGGCATGAGACTCCTGTCCTGGCTACAATGAGAAATCTCTTTGGAAGGACTCAGTTCCCGTTTAATCTTGGTTTGTGGGGGGCCATGAAACATCACTGAGGACAGAAAAAGAGTACGAGGGGCAACACATCAGAAATGCTGCAATAGCTAATTCAACCCATAAACAAAAGTGACAATCAGTGCTTATTCAATATCCTCGTTTATAATTGTTTTGTCTTCTCCCCCTCAACCAGCACTGTGAGCAACTTAACACCCATTTGTCACATGTTAATTGGGTTGACCCCACATAAAAGTGTACTATGGTATAAATATTTGTATTCACTGTAGTGTTTTTGCAGACTTTAAATCTGCAAAAACACTACAGTGAATACTGTAGTATTTACAGTTCACTATAGTATAAATACTGTAGTAAAATAACTGTAGTATATACACTATAGTAAGTAATGTAGTATTTTTGCAGATTGTAGTATACTGTAATATTTACTATAGTGTTTTTGTTTTATTGTCTTTGACATAGAAGTGGAGGATTTCTCCTTCAGGAAACCTAATGAAGAAATACTAAAAGAGCACATTTTCCATAACCTGTAAGTAGGTAGGACTAGGGTCTGAACGGATAGTACAGCGCTTCTGCTCTTTTCTATAACCCATAGGGAACACAATATGGTCTATACTTACCATGTAGGTTTCTCACTTATGGGTGGCACAAACTGATGTGGGGGAGGGGAATGGGCAGGGTATATGCAAATTAAAATACTGTAGTATGTACTATAGTATACTACAACATTCTATAGTAAGTACTACAAATTATCAAATTATAGACCTTTATAGTAAAGTACTGTAGTATTCTAGAGTAAACTGTAGTATTTTTTCATGTAGGACAGCCAAATATAAAACCTCCATCCATCCTTCCCCCATCAGTATCATACTATCACCACCGTCTGCACGTGACATCAAAAAGCGCCCCTTTGATTTCCATTAAGGACCCAGGTTGTCCCAAATGGCACCCTATTCCCTATTTAGTGAACTATTTTTGACCAGGGTCCATAGGGAATAGGGTGCCATTTGGGACGCAGCCCCAGTCAATACCCATGAATCAGTGTGGCCGTAACTCAATGATTTTCCTTCCCTCACTGTAACCATTAGCCCACTAGATCTCCAGTCCCACATCGGCTCCCATTTCCGGCGCCACATAATGGGCTAGTGAAACTGGATACCCGGGCGAGGGGAGTATCAGGAGCTGGATACATCACCCTAACCCTGGGTCTGATGGACCAGGGACTGAGGGAGGGACAGGAGCGAGGGAAACAATAGGCACGTGAGCCCAGCTCCCTGCACATGCATGCTATAGAAGCCCAGAGCAGGGCAACATGCAGTAATGCTTCAGGAGAGAAAGAAAGAGAGAGAGGGGAGAGAGAGTGTATAATGGAAAATGGGAGATTATTAGGGCACTTTCCCCCCCACTCCTAGACAGGGGTTGAGATGATGGGAGGGCTAGGCTCAGTACAGTACAATGCAGGAGGAGTGTGTGTGTGTGTGTGTGTGTGTGCGCAGCGCATTGGCTGCCATGTGACGGCCGGATGATTGCAGGCAGGGCAGGGGCCACACGGAGCTGGTGAATAGAGGGCCTGTGAGAGAGTCTGGCCCCCTGCCTGGCTACAGGGGTTGCTGCCAATCACACACACATTATCCCGCACGCTTACACACGCACAGCTATGTCAAGAACTATACTGCAGAGACACCTCACTGAACAAACTATCGTCCTACAGTCTACTACACACACCCTAGCATGGGCCTCACTGTCTAAACACACGTGATTTGACAGCATCAACCTCAATAATATATTGCAGCATCTCAGCTTAGCGGTCATTACATTACAGCACGCTAGGCTACCAAGCAGATCAGGATCCAAACACTAACAAAGACTGAGAGACGCCAGCGACCACGTCCTGTCTCTGCTGCCACATCAGACAAAAACAAACTGGAAAAGACGCTCCATTGAACACAACTCAAATATTTCCCTTGGCTGCCATATAAAGGCTCTGTACACTGCAGACAAATGGGGGCTAGTGGAGCTGTACAGAAACTCTAGGAGAGGAGGGGGAGGGAGAAGGGCTGTGTGGACAGACTCTCTTTTGGATAGAGGTGGGTAGACCCATTCCAGAGGCTGAGGCTGGGTCTGAGTGCATGAAAGTGTGAAATCAGATGAGCTGGGCTCATGTGATGCCCCATGCCAATCGCCTGATTACACCCAAACTGGGAGGAGGGGGGAAAGTCTATTCCCAGAGGAAAGGGGGTTGTTTGAGGTAAAGAAGAATGGTGTCAGGACCTGGCAGAATGAAAGAAAGAAAGCAAGCAAGATCTTGTCAGGGGTTGTTATCCTAAAGATGATGAACCCAGTCAATGAAGCAGAGTAAAGACTTTTAAAGAACAAACTGAGTAAATAAAACTTTGAGGGCAAATGGCTCGTTCAGTGAAGCAGTTTAATCCTGCAGGCCTAGGTTGTGTCAAGCACAGCAGCATTCCCAAAATCAGATCTAGCTACATTGTGTGCTTGGGGGCACTTGACACAGTCTCTTGACATCTGCAGAATACTCAAACGTTTCACAAAGTTGTCTGGGAGTCAAAACAGCATGGATACCTAGATCCAGAAGACTGTGTACACACACAAACAAAACACACTTGGCTCTGGCTTTAACTGGATCCCTCCAGTCCCACATCCCAGCCTGGTATAAATAATAAATCTCAGGTACTCACAGCTATCTGACTGGAAATCTGGGACAAACTGTTCATCATCAGGCACCTGGGCTGTGGAGGGAGAGAGAGAGGAGAGTTAAACAAGTGGATACTAACTGGGCCCCTGCTGGGTGAACAACACTGGAACTGTCAATCTCGTCTTGGTATCGTGATTCAAAAACAGCCAAAGCTATTTTGTTCAACCCACTGGGGAAAAAACTAAGTTGGGCGTTACTTGGGCACTTTAAAACAGGGACTATAATTGTCAATCTCAAAACAATGGACTAGTCCCTAATGAATACACCAGGAATACAAAGGTGATGTGGACCAAAGAGGGGAAACGGTCTATTAAGAAATTGAATGTTGACCATTTTAAAGGTGAATGTTAAAATTGAGTTTAAAGAAGTGTTGTTATAAGTCCAGAACAATTATTGCTTTCTCTTAGTCAGCAAAGTTACTCATTTATGGGACTTTGCTCTACTTGCTCTAATTGAGTGCACAGAAAGAAAACCGTAATATTTCAAATTATCAGCTTAGGTTAAATCGGTAATCTGCCCAATTTCTTGATGCATCTTAATAACCATATGTTGGGAATATAATTAAACCACCCAAGACATTTGACCAATTGTCTCACATTTCCCTTATTTTCTAAATATTAGCCTTATTATTCTGTATGCACTGAAGGCAGCTACTTCAAGGGGAATTGTAATACTTGTTCAAAGGTGTCAGATATGGATAGTTTTTAATTAACATGACCAATATCTATCATAGGGCAAATTATGTTAGGTGATGCTGAGAGCAACAGAATACATCAAAAGAAATTCAGCAGAAAAAGGAACCAATCAGTATCAACTCTGTGGTATATGTACAAGATAACTCACCTTCTGCAATCCAAATCTCCTGTAACTGGCTGAGGTCTTGGAAGAGGTCTGAAATAGAGACATTTTTTAAAAATATATTATGATATGCTTTGACGAGGTCACAAAGGGGAATGAAGTTGTCTAATTACCTTCCGTGTCCTGGGCGAGTTCTGTGTCTACAAACTTCCTTTTCCTGTTGTCGATGACTGGTCTGCTGTATGGTTCCTCCACATGAGATTTCTGCTGCAATGATGAAAACACAACCAACATGTTAGTTAGTGCTGTCTGTCTCTCAGAGCCATTTATGTATGTAAATGGCTCTGGTGTGACTCATGATTGAGACAGAATGCCACGTCCCATCCAATCCACTTCTAGCTGGAAAGTTGACAAGCCTAAATCTATGGCTCTCTTCCAATATCCACATTAGAATAACATTTATAACACATGGCCAATACATTCTGCATTCCAAGTAGTATGGACGTGTAGATATTGAATTGGAGCGTATGATGATGACCATGCTTCTGATTGATAAAGAGAACCATAGAAATAGAATAAGTAGAAGCAGCATCCCCATTCAAGTCAATGGTTATAGTAATTATATTTCTATGAAGATAACAGACATGAGGAGCATTCTTACATTGGGTGGGACCATAAATGGGACTTGCTGGTCGTAGAATCTGTCCATGTTATCTGGGTCTCCAAAGGTTCCCAGAAAAAGGTATTCGCTTTAAAGCGATAGCGAAAGGGTCACTTTATGTACTAGCTGTTCAACTGTGGACGAAAAAACAAAACATAACAGAAACATGTTTAGATCACAACTCTTCTTGAGTACTCTGGTAGTCACCTAGTTTATCCTTCACTCTTATAGACAGACCTGTAAGCAAGCTGACACCTTACTACAGACCTATCATCAGCACCCTTATAACAACCCCTACCCCCTCTTGCTTTTAAGTGAACATGCTGGTTAAGAGCAAGCACAATGTAAATACACTGTAGTTGTGTGACTTATGTAACTCTTACATAAGGCAAAACCAACCATCTGTGCAGGCGATTAGGAGACTGCAAACAATCAGCTAAGACTGAGCAGGGAAAACTTTCAAGGATGGGTCTTAGCCCTATACCGCTTTGAGGCATTTGAGGACACTGCACTGGGTGACCATGTGTTGTATGAAGCACATATGAGCTTCACTGTACAGTGTTTTACCCCAAAACAACTTCAGACAATGGAGAACAGTATTAGACAAGACATAAAAAACAATCTATAAATAAAGTCGAATGGAAACGGCTCTTTACAATATGTCTCTATTCTGGAGCAAAATACTTGTAGTAGATACTGCCCTTTAAATATAAAATGTAGCGCAGCTGTCGTGTCCCTGGGCATAGCGCAGTTAAGTGCTCTAAAGGACGTTAAGGTGAAAAAGATAGAAAGACTGGGAATAGAGAACAGATAGTAACATTAGCCTACATTCCCTTCCATTCGGATACTCCTCGCGCTTTAAACCTCCTCAAGAGTGATACGAGTCAGTTACTAGACTTTAACCCCCGTTTACTCTGACGAATGAAGGCATAGCTGGCCAATCATTAAAGCGACACACATAGTAGCAACCCATTGAAAATATGTATTTACTGATGCATACAGTGTGCCAGTCCAACAGTGTACACCATGAGGCATATTTTGACAAGTTGTGAAACCAGTAGCTTTAGGTAATGGCCCAGATCTATTCCAAAATAGCAGGTGATCACAATTTAGAATATTAGCCTTATAAATTACCCTTTAAATTGAATTCACACCTTCGATCATGTAACTTCTGTACACACTCGCAAATGGAAAATTGTCGGCAATCAAAAAAGCAAGACAAATCATCCTTGATAATTAACGTTATACTATAGGCTAGAAAAACTGAAACATTAAAACACTATATTTAGGTTTCAAATAGTTACTGCAAAAACATCCTACAAAAAAATCGTAGCTATTTTATCAAAGCAATTGCAGTTAATAGGAGAGATTAATAACATCCTACCCGACACCTCTAGTACCCCCCTCTCCTCACTTCCCTCCCTCTTCACGGAACCCTTGTTTTTGTCAATGAAGTGAAACTCGATCCGTGTGGAACACAGAGAAAAAAAACCTGACCCCTCCATTCATAAAATCACAAACAGCCGATCGAACTCCGGAGATAAGAAAACCAATATGCAGACTCAGAAAATGAAGTTACACGCAAATACACAGCACAATTTAAAACAGTAATATAGTGCATGACACAACTTAATACAAAGCGAAAGAAAATGGTTGCTAAAGTAAACGCTTTCTTGGAGAAGATGGCGATCCGTTTTAGCCCATGGCAGAGATCTACATTTGCTGTTGCATGCGCTCGTAAACTTATGGATATATTACAATGCTAGAGGCATATCTAGGCAAAATGAAAATAAAAAGCATTACTCTATTACTCACACTGTGCGTGTTTCAATTCCGTTACAGTATGGACAGAATGCAATAAAACAAATCCACAAAAGACACTAACGTCGTCTGTCTCCGCTCAATGATCAATTTATGCGGTCCGTCTGACTCACAAAACTTGACTGAGCCTTTAGTTAATGGACGGTTAGTTTTCCCTGGGGCTCGAGTAGGCTATACAGAGAGGCACACGCTTATTGGCTCATTGGCATTGTCCTTCAAGTAAGTAACCAATGGACATCTTAAACACTTTAATTATGCATGAAGTGCTGGAGGACCAATCGTAGCGCAGGTCCGTCCTATATTTGTGAATGGCTGGGTTTCATTCACTATTTTTTGAGTCATCACCGCTGAGGGACAGCTATATAATAAACTGGTAATGGACAGTGGAAATATGCAAACCGATGGTGGCGGTTTCCCTTCAACAAAGTGTTTGTGTGTTTGTTTTTGCCAATGACAGATAGTCATTTTGAAAAAAAGATCTCCACAAATTGATAGTTTAAACCAGGTAATATTAAAATGATCGAACGTGGCGCAGTTTATGCACAGCTGCTATCCTGCTCGATCTGTGCCTTCACATAAGAAAATACATTAATTAATAAACAGATCATGGGGAGAAGTATCTTTGTCGATATTAGAATATCAAATTCAACGACAATGTTCTGTCAAGCCTTTATAAAATTAAGAAGGGAGAGAGGCCTGTGCATCTTGCGGGATGAACTTAGGCAATATGGCACATTACGCACTGCAGAACATGCTCCGCAGCGGCATTCCATGTCAGGACCAGTGGCGGCTCCTGAAAAAATTCTCAGGGGGGGCAATTTTTCTGATGATTTAGGTGACCTACACACATTTAAAAAAAGATATGTCCAGCAACAACATGAAGACAGGGGCAGCATATAAGTCAATACCAGAAGCATTTATTGACTGATCTCAAAAGTGTTGGCTTACCAGGGTTGGTGGAGCCCTCAGTTTCATCTTTGCCTCGCAAAGCTAACTCAAACACTCCGCAAAACTTCACACACTGGATTAGCCGGCTGAGGATGTGGCGGTTCTTGCTAATGTCGTAGTAAATATATTTGTTATAGTGAATATGGAATATGATATGTTGAGTAAAATGTTGTGCTAAGATCTATTTAGGTCAGGAGCTGGTTATAAGTTCTGTTCCTATCCAATAACAATGGACAAAAGGGTCCTATCTTGTCAGCCTTGTCAGTTTCAGTTCTCCAGTAAACTTGTGATTATCAACACTAACCTCATCGTTGTGGCGGCGGACAGCTAGCCTGTATCCCTCATCCAGTTGAGTGGGAATGTTCACTCTCCCCAAAGCAGACAATCTCAAACAGCTATCCATGTGGGTCTTTGACAGCTCATGTTTCTTAATCTTTCCTGAAAGATGGTGCATGTCCGTTACACACCAGTCGCTGTCCAAGCGGTGCTGTCTGCCGTGCCGCCTTCAGGGTGAAAGAGTAAGCAGGGGGTAGCAGAAGACTGTATTAGCTACATCGCAGCCTGCTAGCCAGGTTTTTCGTTCGTACCAATTTTTGGAAAATCCTCGGGTGTAGGACTTCCCCCCTTTAGTAGAAACCTGTTGAATTATTAAATTTGGTCTGGGAGATCCTAATTGTTTCGTTGCCAATTTATCTTCATTTGTTCGCCGACAAAAAGGAACTTCTTTCAAAGAGACAATCGAGTTGCACTGAAGGCTAGCCATTTTTACAGTAGTAGTGAATTGATTGATGAGGCTACCCGCTCTTTTCTTAGTTACGTTCATGGTTACGTTACGTATGACGAAAGTGCGTAAGTGCAAGCCCTCAGAAACCCATAGAGATTGTATTGAAAGCTCTGATATTTGAAAAAAATAGATTTTACATGGGAGTCTATGACAGACTTCTGGGCGATTTTCAACCTGACTGAAATCGCCCCAAAAGGGGGGGGGGGGGGGCATTTGAAGCACGACTTTAGCCTGATTGGACATTTAGTGGCACTGTGGCAGATCAGACGTCTAGATTACAACACTGATAACTACTGTTGCCGTGATATAATTGATTAGAAAAAAAATCCCTTCCTTTTCCCGTTTGGCAGTGCGTCGCCCATATCGCCCTATTGAACACACCGCCCCTGGTCAGGACATACATTGAAACATTTGATCGTGTGACCCATTGTCTCATGGCAGCTTTCATGTCAGCAACTGGCAATGTGAACAAAACTTTCAGTGGTTGGAAAAAGGCATGTGCAGTTCATTCGAAGTGGAAGTTTTTATTGTGGCTTTCCCCATTCTCAGTTTGCATGTTTGTTCCTAAAAGCAAGTCAATGTTTTTCAAATGTCAGTAAGTTCATGTTTTTCAAATGTCAGCAAGTCCATGTTATTCAAATGCTACTTATGTTTAAGTTGTGCATGCTACTTGAAATAAGCCTATAACCTTAATCTAGCTAACATAAATCAGGCCTATGCTCCAGATTGTACTGAAAACATAATCAACCACAAAACCACCCAGGATTCAATTCATTCCTTTTATCTTCAATCAATCTTATAAAACCTTACCAATTGACTAGGCTACAATGTAAATTACAGAAGTACTCTTATTACTGTAGATTTAATGTTATAATCTTATATAAACCCAGAGGGGAGCCACGTGTAGGCTACCCTGTGTGATGTCCAGAAATGAGTATGGTTGTCCGGACTGACTGCTGCAAAAATAATGTTGGTGACCAGATTGAAGCCTTCACATAAACTCAGCATAACTGAAAGTGTGAATTCTGATTTAAAATTCAGGTAGCTCTGTCCTGAACTGTTATTATCTATTGATCTTTT